GACGTGATAAAAGTGTTAGCTCACACTACTGTGGTAATCATTTTGCAATATATGAATGTATCAAAATGACATGTCCTGCACCTTAAACTTATACAATATTATATGTCAATCATATCTGAATAAAAACAAAGTTTTAAAAATACGTAAGCTTACAATGAAATAACTATTCAAAACTAAGGTAATAAATACACAAAAACTAAAAAAAAAAATGCTTGTTGGATAAATGAATGGCCAGGCCCATCTGTCTTACAGGCAGCCTTTGGATAAGGGAAAAGTTGCCACTAGAAACAAAACTCCCACATGGCTGGGGTCAGGACATCCAGGTTGTGGCCCTAGCTCTGCCAATCACTTACTGGGGGGCCTTAGGCGAGTCACCTCCCACCTCTGGGCCTCAGGGTGCTCCACTGTGTCATGCAGGGGTTGGATGGATCAGGACCATGGGTAGGCTTGAGGACACACGTGACATTGTGTGTGTGTGTACAGTGGCTGTGTGCGCACGTGTCCGCGCACACTTCCCTAGCAAGAGCAGCCACTGCTTCTGTCAGATTCTCGAATGGATCTGTGTCCTCAAAGGTTCAGAAACACTAACCAAGATTCTTTTTCAGCTCTGGCAGGAGAGGGTCTATGATTATATATGACTAGAGAGAGAGAAAGAGGGAGTAATTTGACCATAAAGAGGGCATTAGATTAGACCCCAGAGCTTCCATCAGGCAGGTAGGACCAACCCACAGCAAGCATGCAGGGGAGGCTGCAGAACGCAGCCTCCTGGGGATCTCCTCCACTCACCAGGTCTCCCTCCAGGGAACTGGGCAGAAGCCAGATGAACTGACCCCAGGGACTAGATTTCGGAGAGAAGAGGCAGAGGCAGCCGGGAGGCTCCTCCTCTCTGCTCCCGCCACCATCCGACAAGCACCCACTTGTATTTGGACACGGCAGCGAGTGAGGAGGCGAGGCTGGCACCTGGCGATGCCCTCCAGGCCCCTTGGCGCCCAGGTCAGAAAAGGTTTGGCGGGAACGCTCAGGCGGAATGCCAAGCCCCGCCTTCCCTTCTCCCGAGGCTGGCAGGCTGGCATGTGCTGCCAGAGGAGGGCTCAGCGGGTAAGGCCATCATGGGACCCTGAGGAGGCCACCCGAGGGCTGCAGGGCCACACCTCCAGACTCCGGTAATCCACAGCTGGGATTCAGAGGCTTGGGAGGCAAGGTGGGCAGCCCTCTTCAAAGCAAACAGGAGGGGGGGGGCGTACATGCAGGGCAGGGGAGGGGAATAGTGTGGGCAAGGGAGCCCAAGGGGACAAAGCTGAGAGGCAAGCGGTGTGATCTGAGCAGAGGACAGGCTTAGGCGGAAGATTGGGGACAGCATGCAAGGGGAAAAGGGCCACCCAGAGGGGCGTGAAGAAGGGAGAGGCTGGGGATGGGGACAGGTGATTTGTGCACAGCCTGTGACCCAAGGAGAGGAGCTCGGCCTGTGGGGTGGGGGTGGGGCTTAGGGGGAGCAGGGGATGGCCTGTGGCAGGAATGGTGGCATGCTGATGGCAGCACTGTCAGTGGGAGTGCCCTGGCTGGGAGCCCAGATGCCGGAGGAGCTTCTAAGCCCTGACTCCCAAGGAGGGCTGAGCGCCCAAGAGATGTTTATCCACCGCAAGAACTTGGTAAAGCGCCTCCTCTAGTGAGGTGACAGACAGCCTGGCTACTCTTTCCTGGGTCACTGAAGTGTCTTGAGAGTTGCAATGGGAACGGGAGGCCTGGCAAGGGAGAAAGCAGCTAGCAACAGCCCCCTACCCCAGTCTGGAGCCAGAGCCGGGGGGCAGCGGGCACAGGCTGGGGCTGGGACAGAGAGCGTGGTCCTGCAGATAAAGGAAGCAGTGAGTCATGGGTGAGAGCCAGGCGCTCTCAGGAGGCAGCTCAGAAACAAGCTCATCCGAATGCAGACAGACACTCGTCCCCATCCCTGTCCCTGTGGCTGTCACACACCCACACACACACTCCCCTCCCCCTCCCCCTCCTTCTCTCCTCTCCTTGGTCACCCACCTCCAGTGCCCTGGCTCCTTCCTCCATCTCAGCACACAGCCTGTCTCCCCAGTGGCCCGCCTGGCACCTACCCCAGGGCTGGCTGCATGGGGAGCGGAGGAGGGAGGGAGGCAGGGAATCAAGGAGCCCCACCAGCAGAGAAAGTAAAGTCAAGAAGGGTCTAAGATGGAGACAGATAAGGGAGAGGGACTGTGAACTCACTTCCCCATGAGAATTTCAGGGAAGGTCCAGGAGAGGAGCCTGGATGACCTCCAGAGGGGCCCGAAAGTCCTCTGCCATGTCACCTGCCCTGGATGGACCCTCTGCCCCTGCGCCAGGACTGAGAAGCAGTAGTCTGGGAAGACCAGCCAACACCCCAAGGCCTCATCCTACCCCCAGGGCCCTCAGCTAGGCTCAGGCTTCTGTCGGAATCACACACGTGAGCCACCAGCCACTGCCAGGGCTCATGCAACAACAACGTCCCAGGCTTGTCCCTCACCACGGTCTGTCACCGTGGTGATGACCCAGGCTAAAGCTTAGGCAGGACGGAGAGTTCCATTTATAAGTACACCCCTATGCCTGGCACTGTGGAGTATAATCATGAATATGCCACAAACCGTGCCCTGAGGGGCACCCAGTACCATGGGACCAAGGGGTCATTTTGGGACATGCGTGTGCAGGCCCATGCACACGCACGTGCACACACACACCTGGTTTCACAGGCTGCCCCAGTGAAGGAAGAGGAGGGAGTTAGGATGTAGCCACAGGTACATGTTGAGTAGCCCCAACTCTGGGTACCCAAGTGGACTGGTATAAAACAGCAGCATAATCCAAACCCCACACCACAAACAAATCTTAGGAGGCTGCAGCCTTCACAGCCCAGGAAACTGGGATTATGCTTGGGACTGTGGGGGCCTTGGAGGAAGGTTTTACAATTCCCAGTGACCCAAGTATCTCCCGCTCCTCCTTCTGAGAAAAACCCAGTACCCAGGCCTGTTCTCAGACACCTCGCCCAAAGCACCACCCCCGGGTCAGTTTCCCTCTTGCAAGGCTCCAAGTCTTACTCAGAACAGAGACAGCAGGGGTGAGGGTCCAGCTGCCTCCACCACCCTCACGTCAGCCCCGATCAGGTGAGGCACCCCCTGCCTCAGAAGGCTCCCTCCCCGGGACTACAGAGCCCTGATCAGGGACAGCAGCCACAGCTCCCAGTCAACTCCTGGGCCAGCTCAGGGGCAATGAACGCTTTCAGTGTCTTTCCCCAGAGCTCCCAGCCTCGCCCCTCTTGGATGGCTCCTAACCCTCACCTGAACTATCTGTCCTTTTTAGGAGGCTACATCAGTCTCCTCCCAAGGTCGCCAGAGACCCAGGTGAGACCTCAACCTACTTCTCTGGGCTTTAACCTGGTCCCAGTCCAACCCGTGCCATTGGTGCGGCCTGCCCTTGCTGCCCACCGCCCGACCACGGACGGGCAACTTTCCTGAGCTGACTGCTCCTTACCTGTCTCAGGTGAGCTGGGCTCTGACGGCCACCCACTCCCCCCCACTCATCCCCGCACCGCCTTACCTGATGCAGGAGCCACCGGCTCTCGCCGCGGACCAAAGCCCCGGGCTCCCAGCACTGCGCCCGCGCTGGGGCCGGGGGACTCCCCGGGGGCTGGGGGCCACCGGGGGGCCCGGGTTCCAGCGCCTCGCAGCACACCAAGCTCACCGTGCAGCCCATCCGGCCTGGCGCCCGGCGGGCCAGGGCGGGGGGCGGGGACGCGGGCGCCCCAGGAGCTGGCCCGCCCCCCAGCCCTGGGCGCCTCCGACGTCGGGAGGGGGCGGCGACGCCCCCAGCCGGTCCCCTCCCGGAGCCTTCTCGGGCGGCACCGCCAGGAAGCGGGGGAGTGCGGGGCCGGACGAGGGGCGGTGACACGGACGCCTGGAGCAGCCAGTGACAGAGGGAGACCCAAGGGCGGGGGACGCGGGGAGGGGCGGCGGTGGGGTCCTGGGGATTGGGGCGGCAGAACCGCTGAGTACGGGGCTGGGGACGCGGGTGGCGAGAAAGAGACCGACGAGCGAAAGAAGAGGCGGGAAGCGGTTAAGGAGATAAAGAGTGAGAGACAGGGAAACAGGGACTCAGGGGACAGGGAGGGGGAACAGAGTCTCTGTACCGGGGAGACCAAGCCCGGGAGAGGAAGAGACAGGCCGGGAGTGGCGCAGGAGAGCAGAGCCGGGAGCGCGCCAGGGTTCACGTGCGCTTCCTGGGATTTGTGCAACGCAGTCCTCCCAGGTGCCCGCTCCTCTGCTCTCTGCCCCTGGGACCAGCCCGTGGGGCAGCGCGGCCTAGAAAAACGAGGTGGAAAGACTGCAGCCTCAAAGAGGCAGCGTACATCGAGGGTGGAAGGGCCACAGCTCACCTGGGCAACGTGCCTCCTCCGCTCCTGGATACAGCATCTCACCGGTAGTCGCTTCCCTCCTTTTAGGGGTGAGTACCAGGACTGAGAGGATGGCACTGGTGACCAGCACTCATGGGGACCCCCTCAGAAGACTGAGGTAGGGAGGAGGAGAGACACATGTGATGAGACTCTTGTCCACCCCTCCCCACCTGCATCACACTCCAACCAAGTGACAGTAAAACTGGCAAGAGTATCAGATGGGGCAGCATCCCAGTCTTTTTGTGCCACCTGGTGGTGATAAGGAGGAAAGACGAGAACTAGTGGCCGTGATAAGAAGGGAAGGAAACTTGAAGAGCAGCAACTGCTGCTACCCGCCCCTGGGTGGGTCCCTGTTAGGCCAGGTAGTCATCCCCATCCCAGCCATTCTGCCCTGGTGCCCTTGACCCTGCCTCTGCCGCTTCTCCCCCACAGTCTTCCCCTCCTCCCGCTCCGAGCAGGATTTCCCCTCCAGGGTGCTGGCCGGGGCCTGAGTCACCTCCCAGGCAGCGAGCCCTGAGAAGGCTGTCCAGGAGCAACAGTCACAAGAGGCAGGCTCAGGCCGCCGCACGGGCCCTCCATGCCTCAACCAGCCAGGCCTTCCCAGGTGAGCAGAGAGAGACTCCTGGGTCTGGGGGAGGCTGGGGAAGGGAAATGACGCCAGGAGCACGAAGCTGAGGGATTTTTGGTGGATATGGGGGACAGGACGAGCGCCTATAGGTGCTCGTGGATTTCATAAACCTTCTGGGCTGGGAGGGACATCAGGGGCCCTAAAGCCAAGCCCTTGGTCTACATATGGGGAAACTGAAGCCCAAGGAAAGTGAGTGATGTGCCCAAGGTGAGTTACAGGGCCAGGATGGAGACCCAGGTCCCTTGACTCCCAGCTCAGTGTCCCCTGAACTCCATCTGCCACCCACTCTCCCTCCTTACTCTCATCTTCCTGCTCCTGTCCCCTCCACTGTGGCCCACTGCTTCTTCACTCCCACCCACCCCCAAATTCCAGCAACCACAGCCTGGGAGGCTGGGACTGGGTTTCCTACCCCCAGCCCTCAGAGTAAGCCCACTGGTCCTCAGGGGCCACGGTATTCTTCTCTGAGCCCCAGGACCCACTGGTGGCAGGGACAAGCTAAGATTCACCTGGGAGAGAGCCACAGGATTAAAACCAGGTGTCCTCCCCCCCACCTCCGAGGCCCAGCCCGAGGGCCGTGCCTGACTTCTGCCCAGCCCGAGGGCCGTGCCTGACTTCTGCCTCCCTCTCCTCTGAGGACGAGGACACACACTTTCCACTCAGCTGGGAACCAGGAAAGGATGAGAATGTGTCTCAAGGATGATGCTGCTCTGGCAGAGCTCTCGGCAGGGTGGGGCAGGGGGGCGGCGGGAACGTGGGGTGGCTTCCCTCAGCCCGGCCTGCGCATGGTGCCCCAGCAGGGCCTCTCACATCAGGTCAGGGCTGAGAGCACGGGCCCTGTGGGCTCACAGACCTGAGTTCAAGGGCTAGTTTCACAACTTGGAGCTTTGTGATGTTGGGTAAGCGACTCACCCGCTCCGAGCCCCGTTTTCGCCTTGAATAAAATGGAATCGCTAACTTTCTAGGCTCATTGTGGGGACTGAAGGAGACAAAGAGGTCAAGCACCCAGGAACTGCCCCACAAGTGGGAGCCATGCCTTCATCTTCCCACACTGGCCCACAAGAAAGAGCTTGGGGTTCTATCCTGCTGGTGAACTCACTGTAACCCTAGAGACATTGCATCCCTTCCCTAGGCTCTGGGTTTTCCTCTGTATAAGGAGAGGACTGGACAGCTGAAACAAGAGGCTCCTTCCTGGCCTGAACTTCCAGAGCCACAAGGAATCATATTCTTCTCAGACACACATGGCAGAAGAGGGGGCTGCCCTCAAGGTCACCAGGGACCTGAAAGGTGAGCGTGTCCCAAGAGATTTCCTGGGACTGAACTGGGGAAGAAGTGAGGGGTCTTGGGAGCCTCTCCCTCAGAGACCTCCCTCCCTGATGTCTAATGTCCATTGTCTTCCTCACAGCTGCTGTCTCTGCCATCCTCCAGGGCTACGGGGTGGGGCATCGGGTGACAGACGCCAGCGCCGAGCTGCACAGACTCTGTGGCTGCCTGGAGCAGCTGCTGCAGGTAGGACTGTGCCACCTCTGCTTCTCCCCTCCCCTCCCCTCCCACTCCCCTCCCCTCCCTTCTCCCTAGGCCCACAGATCCAGGAGGGCTTTCCTCGGAAGGGAAGAACCACCACCCTTCCTTTGCTACCGTGCACCACTTCGTCCCCCTCAGTTAGCAAGCTCTTCCTGACCTCTAGCCTAACTCAGGAAGCTCTCGTTGCAGCCTGGAAGATGCAGTGAGCAGGGCCAGGGCAGGGTGGGGAGGGGCTGGGGAGGGGCTCGGGGCCGCCACCTGCTCTGGAGGCTTCCATCTCAGTCTTGGGTATCCTAGGGCTGGCCCTCCTTGCTGCTGGTTAGAGCCCCAGTCGTCGCTGCCACTAGCTTCAATGGAGCACACACTGTGTGCCAGGCTAAGCCTTTACATGCCCCCTTATTCAGTTCCCATTTTAACCCCCCGAAGTGATTCATGGCCCGCCCAGCCCCCACAAATTACATGCACTCCCGACTTCTCTGTATGTGTACGTGCGTGGAGTGAGTGTGCATGTGTGTGTATGTATGCAGTGTGGGGGCTGTGGTTGTTGTGTGTGTGCGAGGTTTGTGGGTGTGTGGTATGGGTATGTGGCGTGCGTGTGTGAGGCTCCTGCCAGTCTGCCCTCCAGTCACACTGGCCTTCCTGCTCCTCTAAAGCGCGCCAGGAATGCACTCACCTCAGGGCCTTTGCTCTTACTATCCCCTCCGTCCGGACGCTCTTCCCCAGAAGTTTAGATGGCACACTTTCTCATTTCCTTTAGATTTCAACTTGAATGGAACCTGCTCAGTCAGGCTTTCTCTAGCCACCCTAATCTAAATTTTTAACACATGCATATATCAAACACAGCACACATACACATGTGTGCACACACCACACAATTTCTATTCCCTTTCCCTGCTTTATTGATTTCTCCTTAGCGGTCAGCACTATCTAACGTAGTATATGTTTTTACTTACTCAGTTTGTTCATTATCTGCCTGCCCTTCTAAGACGTAAGCCCATGAGGTCATTGTTCATTGCTGTATCCCCTGGACTTAGGGCAGATCTGGGACATAGTAAGTGCTCAGTAAGTATTTCTGGAATGAATGGAAACACTGAACAGGCAAAGAGGTCAAACAGCTTGCTCGGTCACGCAGCCGGTAAGGGCAGAGCCAGGGCGTGAAGTCGGGTCTGTCTGTACAAGCCCTTTCCCCTCTACCTCAGGCTCACTTAGCATGTGGGAATGCAGGGTGGGTTCTAGGAGGAAGCCTGTCTCTGATTCCTTTCCCTCGGCTTGCTCCCAGTTTGACCAGAAACAGCAGAAGAGCTTCCTGAGGAATCCTCGGAAGGATTACTGGGACTTTGTTTGCACTGCCCTTTGGCGGCAGCGGGGGAGCACGGAGCCAGCCCGGTTTGTTCACTCGCAGGACAAGGTAGCCAGTGCCAGTGCCACATGGCAGGCAGGCTGACCCCAGCGTGACGGGGTCCTGCCACCGGGCCCTTGTCGGGGATCACTCAGGGGCCAGGGGACACAGGCCGGCCCAAGGCCCTTTTCTCACCCATCCCAGCTCCGCTGACCACAGGCGCCCTCGCCTGGTGCTCAGCTCTCGCTAGCGCTGTCCTCAGCAACACCCCCCGCCCCGGGACCCCTTTCCCTCCCAAAGCCCCCAGTCCCATTACAGCCTTCTCATCCACCACCCATTCCCTCTCTGGCTGGCTGAGCTCCCCCGTCCTCACAACGCCCCCACTTTGCCCCTGTGCGCTCTACAGTTGAAGACCCCTCTGGGGAAAGGCCGCGCCTTCATCCGCTTCTGCCTAGCCCACGGACAGCTGGCCGAGTGGCTGCAGCTCTGCCTCCTGAGCCCAGAGCTCACCAGGTAGGGCTACAGGGACATACTCCTACCATGTGAGCCCACTGTCCCTCCAGAGTGAAAGATCCCTCTTTACCCCCAAAAGGATGGCTTAATAACAAGGATGTCTAAAATGAGAGAGACAAGGGGGAAGTCAAGGAAGAAAGAGCGAAGGGGAGGTTAGACCCCTGGTCCTGGTATCATTATGACACTTTGGGCTCCTGCTCGCCAGGGGCCTCAACCCTGCCCTGGGAATTGTCCCGTCATGCTGTGCAGCAGAGAGGTGGATTCTCTGAGGTCGGGGTGGCAACAGCACCAGGGCCAAAGGCCAAGGGTGTTGGTCACTGTGAACACAGGGAATGGTATGGCCCCCGGAGCCCTCTGCTGTGCCCTCAACTCCAGGAGGACATCCTGGACTCTCTCTATGCTCTCAATGGGGTGGCCTTCGACTTGGACCTGCAGCGGCCAGACCTGGACGGGGCTTGGCCCATGTTCTCAGAGTGAGTGTGTATGAGCGAAGGGAAGCCTCTTTTCACACCTGCTGCCAGTGCTACCGCCCATCCCAAGGTAGCCCCAAGCTCTCAGCTTCTCTCGCCATCCGTTTCTCCCTCCCTTCATGCTCCCTGAGCCCCTGAATCTCCACCTCCCTAGCCTTCTGTTTTCCCAGCATTATCTCATGCTGTCCCGTGATGCTGCATTGAGTACACACTCCAAAGAGTTGTTGAATGGCCGGGGTAGAGTGTTAGAAGGGTGGACGGATGGTGGGAGGTTGAGAGACTGGTGGATAAATGGAGGGTGGGATGCAGGGATGGACGAGGAAGGGGATGCATGCGTGCGGGTGGGAGGGCGGAAAGGTGGTAAGGGTGGTAGAGTGAATGGGTGTTCGGAAAGGTGGGATATCCTGCATCCAAGAGCCAAGACCACATCTGGAGAGAGACCCAGGGTCCCCCTGCCCCTTTCACTTTCAGGTCCCGCTGCTCCAATTCCAACCGAACCCAAGGAAGAAGGCCCAGAAAAAACAAAGATTCTCCAAAGGAGGTGCTCCTGCCCGACCTTCCCTCTGAGGTGCCTCTTCTCCGTCTCTCCTGGGACCCCCAGGCTGAGCAGTCACTGAGCCCTGCACCAGCTAGACAGGCACAGAGAGGCCACTGTGTGGACCTGGGAACTGGGGACCCACAGAAGCGAAGGCTCAGATTCCTAAGGTGGTGGGGATATTGGGGAGAGAAAGGGGCCGCTGCCACCATCTGCAGGAGCCAGTGGGGCCCATGGGAGGAGGAGGAGGTGCTGGAGAGGGTGACCGGAAGCTTGTAGGAAACAGACCATGCAAATAACCTCTTCCGGACAATTTGCAAATGTGTCAGTTCAGTCCAGAGAGCGATTGAAAAGCCACGTCACCTGGTTCAAATCCCAGCCCCACCCCTTACTAACCATGGTCCTTGGGTAAGTTATTTGTCATTGCCTCGCAGGGAGATTGCAGGGATGCACTGAGACAGAGCAAGGCTTCTGCCATGTGCTCAGGAGGTAGTAACTGGCAGTTATCATCATTCTACAAACTTGCCTTGCCTCCACCCCCAACAGCTTCCAGGTACTAGGTACAGATATTATGAGGACTCAGTCTCTGACCTGAAGGAGTCCCGGGTCTGTTCAAGGGAACAGACCCTAAAGGAACACATTGCAACATGACATGTAAAACATAGGGATGCAGACATGCACAGGGGAACATGGGGCCCAGAGAAAGCTTCTTGGCAGAGGTGACTGCTAGCAGGCTGTCAATCGATCTGAGCTTTCATCACAACCCTACAAGGCAGGTGTTATTATTTCCATTTCATAGATGAGAAATTACAAAATCAAGTTCACAGGGAAGGATCAGAGGAGAGGGGTGGGAAGAACTTAGGGGAAACCAGATCCACACAGAAGATAGAAGTGAAGGAGGGAGAAGGGCACGGGCTAGAGGTGAGGGAGGAAAGGACATCGAGAAGCACTGCTGCTCCCTGACCAGATCGAAGCTGGGGCCTCCGATCAGATCACCCGGTGTTAACATTCAGACTCCTGGGCCCTCCCCAGATCTGCTGAATTAACATTTCCAGAGGGAGGGCCTGGGAATTCATATATTTAGCAAGCCTGTTGCATTAAGGCTGTGGCCTTTCCCATGCACCAGCTTGGTGAATTGGTGCTGAGAGGGATGATGGTGGGTTTGGGGTCTTCTCCGCAGATCTCAGCTGTAAATGGAGGCCCCAAAGGAGTCTTACCAGGGGAGCCACCCACCAGCCAAGCCAGCTGTCTGCAAGATGCACCAGGAGAAGACCAGTTGGCTGGACTCCTCACATCCCAGCAACACAGGCATCTTCCTCCCTTTTTGGAAGAGAAGAAAGGAGATCCCAGGAGCCTCAGGGGCCCCCACAGCATGTGGGAACCGGAGGGGGAGGAGCTGCAGGAAGACCAGGAGATGGGAGCCCCAAGCACAAGCATCTGCCTGGAAAACTCAACACTCAGCATCCACAGACAAGAGGAGGGGGTCAAGCGGGCTCTGAAGGAGGTGGCAGAGACAGCGGGTGAGGGCGGAGGGGTTCTGCTGAGTGCAGAGAGTCAGAGAACAACAGAGGGGACTGATGAAAGGGAAGCAGAGTGGGGTTGTGTTCAGAGGCTGCTGGTCTCCAGCTCCAGAGGGACAAATGAAGATACGGTGTCAAGGAACAGACAGCAGTGCAAAGTGCCTAGCATTCTGGGAGAGCCCAGAATCCTTCAGAGCCTGGATATGAAGGAAGGCTACGCCACAGAGAAGCCACGAGAGCAAACAGGAGTGACCAGTGTGGCCAGGATGGAAGAACAAGCAGACGTGGCCTTGCAGGATGTAGTCAAGGTAAGAGCCATTGAGCTGTGTGCCTGTCTATTCTCCTCTGTCTAAACTGGCCCACAGTTGAGGTCTTCAGTGAAAGCCTGCGGACCATTCCAGCCTGCAAATAAATATTTATTGGCCTGCTCAGGATTATTAGTTGAGGATATCTTTTGAAAGCCATGCATTCTTCAGCTCACCGCAGTCGCCACCTCTATCTATTGCCTCACACCAGGCGCACTTTATTCATCAGTACTATTTGCCTAGTCCCTGTAGGCATTGAGACACCTTTCCAATAGTTCTTCAGGGCAGTTGCTCGTTCTTGGTGTCACGTCCCTCGTTATGGGCAAGTTTCCTGCCAATATGTAAATTCTACTGTTGCAGATCTCACCTAGTTCCTCTTGCTGTAGATGCGTCTCCTGGAGGTCACCCAAGATTGTTTTTAAGCCTCCCTGCAGCCTGCTCCCTAGCCAGACTCTTCCAGGTCCTTGAGCTTTGTAACTTCCATTCCTCAGTGAAGGAAGACATGGTATCTCCAGGCTCACCCATGGGAAGAGCCAGGCATCACGGCTCCCAGCACTCGCCCCAATCCTGTCTTCCACTCAAGGATGGTCTTACATGGCCTGAGGTCTCTTGGGTATGTTTGTCAAGTCATTCCCTGGGCTGGGGTCTCCCTCTTCATCTTCCTTCTCCCCTCCCCTCCCCAGAGCCTCAAACATAGGCTCCAGAAGACCAAGGAGCAAGCCCAGCACGAGGAGCAGCTGCGGAAGGAGCAGGAGACTCAGGTGAAGGCACTGCTGGAGCAGCTCATCAGGTAACCTTGGCAACCACCAGCACTCAAGGGCATGAGAGCCAGGAGGCTGGAGGGACAGGCGGCGCTTCCTGGCTCCTACGGGCATTCACCGTCAGCAAGCATCTCCTGAGCTCCTCCTGTACACCGAGACCTGTGCAGGGCACAATTTGCGGATGCTGAGGCATACAGGACACTGTTCCTGTTCACAAGGGCTCCCACCTTCCCCTCCCCCTTGCCCACCCCGTCCTCCACTGGCCTTCCTGCGTAGCCCCCAGAAGAGATCTATACCTCCTCTCCCTCCCTTTCCTTCCATACTTGCCTTGGCCCCTTTCTGCTGCCTCTCCTAGGCTGCTGGTCTCTCTCTGAAGTCCACTCTGCCTCCCTGCCCCGCCACACTCGTCCTGTTCCTCTGTTCCCAGTTGCACAACCTCTCTTTCCCCCTCTGGATAATCATAATCATAACTATATTTACTTTTACTACATTTTATATGTACTTTTACTACATCACTGGCAGTTTTCTAGGTGCTTCCTCATAACAGCCTTATGAGATAGTTTCGCTAAGAATCCCCATTTTATATTTATAGATGAGCAAACTAAAGCCCAAAGATGCTGCCCAGTTGACCCTCCTGCTACTTTAGCAGCTTCTTATGGTCCTGGGCCAGCTCCCTGTTCTTCCAGAGCCAATGCCTGAGGTTCTGGAGAGGGGAGGGGAAGGAAGAAGGAAGAGACAAGGAAAATGAAGAAGGGCAGAGACCCCAGTCTGGGGACTGACCTGACCGACATCCCCATGAGGAGAAGAGCTGAGGTCCAGTCCTGACAGCTGACCCCAGAACCAGTGAGCCTAAACACTACTCAGCCAACATTTCGAGTGCCTGTACTGCAGTCTGTCTGTCTCTCCCCTTCAGCATCTCTCCCATAGGCATCTTCATTTCCCATCCTCCCATTAATAAGAAGAGCATCTTGTTTTGTCCACATTTCCTCCTCAGTGCCTCAGTTCCTCTTTCACGATTTATTTTTAAAATATCTCCACCGTGTCATGATCTTCCTTCGTCGGACTCAGTCTTCTGTGTCTCCATCCCTTAGTGTCTGTGCGCTGGAGTCTTCCTGCCTGTCTCTATCTCTCCCACATGGCTGACCCCTGCCCTGGGATTTTAGGGGCACCTGCCCCACCCCCAGAGGAGCCTGAGTAGCAGTGATTTAGACTGAACCATGGGACAGTCTACTGATGGTCTGTTTAACCATCAGTAGACTGCTTAAACAGTAGACTGGTAAGAATGAGAGAGGCCAGGTACCCAGAAACTAACCCCAAAACACCCCCGGGGCCCTTCCCACCAGATACTCAGCTCAGCCCAGCATCAGTGTGGTCGTAACTATCATTTATTGAGCATTTATTATGTCCCTGGCACTGTTTTAGATGCTCCCTTTTAACAGCCTTATGAGATATGTTCCATAAGAACCCCCATGTCATAGGTGAAGAAACTGAGGCTTAAAGATGCTGCACAATTCACCCAACACAATTCACCCTCCTGCTATTTTAGCAGCTGCTCCCAGTGCCAAAGATTCCCATGGTTCCAGCCTGAAGTGGATGCAGGGGCTTTGCCCACTCAAGGGCTTCCTCTGGGGATCAGGCTGGAGGCAGCAGCTGAGAGGCTCCAGGGAGGTTGCCTCGCCCCAGGCTGTTCCCTGCAGCTGGGGGGAGCCCCTGTCTCACAGATGGCTGCCCCATCACGTCACCTGTTGTCCCACTCAAAGCACCCCCTCTGTTCCAGGCCTGTTCTATGTACCAGAAATCCTCTTGTGGACAAAAGAGACAAAACAGACAAAACTCCCAGCTTTATGGAGCTTATATTCCAGTGGGGAAGGCAGTCAATAATACGATAAGCAAGTAAAATACAAAGAATGTCAGACTGTGGTAAGTTCTAAGGAAGAAAATTAAGCAGGGGAGGAGGATAGGAAGTATCACGGGTGATATGAAATAAGGTGGCATAGTCAGGGAAGGTGTCCCTGAAAAGTGATTTTTGGGTATAGACCTGTAAGAAATGAGGTGTCAGCCATTTGGATGTGTGGTAGAGGAACAATCTAGGCAGAAGGAACAGCAAGAACAAAGCCCCCAAGGTGGGAATGAGCACGGCAGGTTCTAGGAACATCAGGGAGGCCATCACGGCCCAGGAGAAAGAGGAAAGGAGGGGATGCAGGGAAAGGTCAGGCGGGTAATGGGGACCAGGTGAGGCAGACCCTAGTAGGCATCAAGAAGACCTTGGCTTTAACTTAGCATGAGAGGGGAACCAAGCTCTGAGCAGGGAAAGAACATCACATGACTATTTGTTTTAATGTTTTAAAAAGTGTTTATTTGCTTTTTTAAACAATTCGATGGTTTTGTGTTTTTACAAAGTTATGTGTTGATCACGACAATCAATTTTAGAACATTTCATCACCCCAAGGAGAACCCTGCATTGGTTAACAGTCACTGCCCATTTCCCCCAGTCCCCCAGCCCTAGGCAACCACTAATCTGCCTTCCTTCTCTAGAGATGCGCCTATTCTGGACTGACCTGTGTCTCCAAGGGCTCTGTGAAGCTAGTCTGGGGGAAGTAGGGGTGGAAGCAGGGAGAACGAGGAGGAAGCTTCCCCACCACGCAGGGGAGGCCATGGTGCCTCAGATTGTGCTGGTGGCAATGCAGATGCAAAGAAGCTGCTGGACTCTGGATCAGCTGGGAGATCAGCCTTCGGTGGTGGGGGATTGGATGTCAGGTCTGAGAGGAAGGCAGAAGTCAGGAATGACTCCAAGTTTTCAAGCCAGGAAAGCTAGAGTCACCATTAATCATCTGCTGTGGCAGATTAAGTTGTGTGGAAGCTTCAGGAGTTGAGTTGTGAACATGTTGGGTTTGAGACACCTGTTAGACACCCAAGTGGAGCCTTGGGGATGGCAACTGAGTGTGGATTTCAGGAGAGAGGCATGGGCTTGAGGTCTATTGAGGAGTCAGGTAGTGAGTAACAGAAGCTCCTGGGACTAGGAAAACACCTCACTCCTGGGAAAGGTGACTGCGGTCATCAATCTGGTGACAGGTATCTGGGCACCAGGGCATAGGCGTGCCACAACCCCTTTCAGTCCATCAACAATATTTCCTGTGCCTCTACTACTGCTATGAGCCAGGGTGGGGGAACAGCAGTGAACAGAACAGGCCATGTCTGCTCTCACAGACCTGGGGAGATAGACAGTAGATCCACAAATAGAAATACAGGATCAGACAAATACCAGATGATCTCACCTATAAGTGGACTCTATTCAACAAAATAAACCACAGGCATGGAAACATGGAGCCGACTGAAAGTGACCAGAAGGGATGGGCAAAGAGGACAATGGTGGAAAGAAGGGGAAGGAACTAGACAAAGAACATGTATGAATGACCCATGGACATGGACAACAGAGTGGAAATTGACTGTAGAAGCAAGGAGTGGGGATGGGAGGGACGTAAAGGGGGGGGGGATTGAGACAACTGTAATAGAATAAACATTTATAAATTTAAAAAAAAAAAAGAAATATATGGTCAGGTAGTCACAGGCACCTTGGAGAAAAGTCAGTCCAGGAAAGGAGAGACAGAGACAGGACAGCCTTCTAGATTTAGGGTCAGGTAGGCCCTCTCTGAAGAGGTGACATTTAAGGAGAAACCCCAACCATGGGAAAACTGGCCCAGGCAGATATCTGGGGAGGAATGCTACAGGCAGGGGGACCAGCAAACACAAAGGCCAGGAGACGTGTGCTTGGGGACAAGCTGTCTGTGGCTGGGGCAAAGAGAGATCCCCCATGCTGTAGGATGCTAGAGCAGGATCTTTAGCAGAGGGTCTCATGGTGTGGACTTTGGTTTTTAAAGGATGACTCTGGCTGTACTGTGGAGAATAGACTGAGAGTAGGGTTAGAGTTAGGGTTAGGGTTAGGGTTAGGGTTAGGGTTAAGGCCAGGCTAGATGCATAGGGAGGACACAGCAGACTATCCCAACAGCAGGAGCCAGAGCAGACCAGCCTGTAGTTCCTCTGAAAATAAACTCAGAACTGAGATATTGGACTAACAGCACCCACTTCCTGGCTTTCTGGCTGTGTGTCCCTGTGAAACTAGCCTTCCCTCTCTGGTCTCAGGTTCCCGATTTGCAAAAGGAGATGGTTAGATCTCTAAAGTTCTTTCTTCCAGCTCAGCTGAGCTCCTTGAAGGCATGCCAGTCATTCGTAAGGATTTTCCCTTGCTCCCACAGGCTGCCCACTCAACACTGGCACCATGAGCCACTGGTAGTCAGGGCTCAAGCATGGATACAAATGTGGGGAGACACAAGGAGATTAGAGCTAAAAAGGCCAGCATCTGGATCTCTGCTCCCTCCACTTGCCAAGCTACGTGACCCTGGGCTAGTGTTACTCCCTCTCTGAAGCTCCATTTTCTTAACTATAAAATGATGATCATAGTACCGGTTCCATAAATTTGCAAAAATTAAATGAAACAGGCTATTAAAGCACTAAGCTCAATGCCTGACACATAGTAGGTGCTATTGACTTTGATTCCTTCCAAGCCCCCTACTGAGCTAAGAGTGTCTATTATCCTCTTCTTTAAATACTTCAGTGGCTTCCCATTGCACTGAGACTAAAGTCCACTTCTCTTGGGACCACCGAAGGACACCTCAGGCCCTGTCTGCCTCCCACCTCATTTCCTGGCACTCCTACCCCTGTCATTCATGGTACTGCAGCTTCACGAGCCTCTTCTGGCTTCACAAACAAGCCAACTTCTTTCCAACCTGTAGACCTTTGCATGTGCCCTTCTCTAGCTGTACCTGGCTGACTTCTCATTTTTTAGATCTGCTTCAATGTCACCTTGTTTAAGAAGCCTTCCCTGAGCACCCTCTCAACTCTCTGTCTCAGCCCCTCATTTATCTCTGTTATATACTTAGCTTAATTATTTTCCTGGTCTATCATTTGTTTTGACCACTGCCTCAAACATCCTATAAGTTCCACCAAGAGCCATAGGCACTGCTCCATTGCTGGTACACAGTAGGTGTTCAATATTATTCCCTCCCACCTCAAAGACACACATTAAGCACGGTGGTCACATTAAGGGCTGCACAGGCCACGGCAGAAGCCCTGGGGTCACTGGGCAAGTAAACTGTCTTAGGAAAATGAAAGCAGCAGCTAAGAAATGAGGAGGCTGAAGACTAGCATGGTCATTAAAAGTCCAAACATGGCCCTGATCCAATGCCTGAGCATAAAAACACCCTTTGTTATGGCTGCAGGGACTGGCTTTTTTGGAATTCGAGTGGCTTTCTATTGTTGGTTTGATGTCATGGCCCACCCAGTTTTCTTCCTGGGAGCAAGCTACATGGCAGCTTTTAAAAAAATTAATTATTGAATTCATTGTCAAGCCTCTTGCAAGCATCTTCTTCCTCTGCAAATGCACTCTGGCCCAGGGTCTTGGGCACGCATATGCACACGTGTCAGAGGTCATAGGACATGCACCGCCATTGCAATACCCTCCTGCCTGACTGATGGAATAAGAGTCTGGAACCATTTTATTTCCAGTCCAGTAGATTTCTTGGAACCTTCTAGGAAGCCACTAAAGACAAAAAGAAGAGGAAAAAATAGGGCTGAAGAGGTTCCCAGCCCAAAGCTAAAATAGAAATTTAAGAAAGCCATATGTTTAATATTACTTTTTTAAATTGAAAAGACAATGTAACATTAATTTTCAAAATATTTTAAAGCCAAAAAATTGCCCCAGATCCTACACCACTTACCCCCCCGCCCCAAGCACCACAATTATTTCAGCTGGACACAGCCATCCATCCTGGGTTCCCAGATACCCGCCTTCCCCCAGAGAGCTGCCACGATTGCGAACAAGCCTTTCAAGAAGTTTACACTTTAAAGTGGAAATATTTATGAAAAGAAAACAAATGGGAATGTTGGCTCATCTCTTCTAAAGGAGTACACAAGACTAGGCCCATTTTCATTTCTCCGAATAGTTGGTGAAGAGTCAGCCTATGGGTGTCAGTCTGCACAGCGCTCAGTTTGGTGTGTGGTGTGGTATTTGTGGGGTTTAGTACATGTTGTATTGAGAGCACATGTGGTGTATGCGGTGTTTCGTAAGTGCACATGGTACAGTGTGTGTGTGGGGTGTATACTATATGTGTGTAGTATACTTGTATGCATTGTGCGGTATGTAGTGTGTGGTGTGTGGTGTGTACATGTGCTGTGTGGTGCATGATGTATGTATGGCATGTGTTGTGAGTGCGTTAGTGTGTGTCTGGTGTGTATAATGTGTTGTGAGTGTGTATGTGGCATGTGGGTGTGATGTACTATGAACGTGTGTGTGTGCTGTGTAGTAAGTGTATGTAGTATGTGGTGTGTATGTACATGTATAATGTGTGTGTATAGTGTGGTACGTGTGTGTGTGATGTGGGTATGTATAATGTGATGTATGTAACATGATGTGTGTGTATATAGTGTAGTATGCATATATGTCGTGTATGTGTAGTGTGGGGTGTGTAGTGTAGTGTGTGTATGTATACTGTGGGGAAGTGTGTATGTATATGTGGTGTGTGGTTGTATGTATGTATAGTGTGAGGTGTGTATATGTGTGTAGTGGGGGGGTGTATAATGTGGTATGGGTATAAATAGTGTGGTGTGTGTACGGAGTGGTGTATGTATGTACAGTGCAGAGTGTATGTGTGTATATATGGGATATGTGTGTAGTGTGGTATGGGTATGTAAATGTGCTGTGTGTGTAATATGATATGTGTATAGTGTGGGTGTGTATGTAGTGTGGGGTCTGTATGTATGTATATGTGATGTGTGTATATATAGTGTGGGGTATATGTGTGCATAGTGCGGGGGGGGATGTATGAATAGTGTGGGGGGTGTATGTGTAGTGTGGGGTGTGTAGTGTTATATGTGTATACATAGTGTGGTGTGTGGACTTCAACTGCAGGGGGCAGCCAGCACCCCAAGGAGCTCCCCATCAGACAGAGGCCCAACCTAGCTCAGTCAAAAGCTGAGTTTTTCTCCTGAGAACTGAGTCTGCCTTTTGTGCCCAGGTATCAGGAAGAGAGGGCCCAGCTGCAGGCAGAGCTGGAACAGAAGCAACAGGAGGCTGAAAGGAGGGACGCCATGTATGAAGAGGAGCTCAGAGGGCAGCAGGACCTGGTCCGTGCCATGAAGAGGCGGGTGTTGGAACTGATTCAGTAAGTTGGGGGCCAGTGGCATGGGAAATGGTATAGGTAGGGGAAATGGTATGGGAAGTACAGGCTGGGGAGTGAAAATTCTGCTCCACTAGCAGCTATCAAGCAGGATTCTGGACAATTTATATATACTAACTCATTTCCTTTTTTTTAGCCACCCCCTCCTCTTATTCCCAGTTTACAAACTGTGAGGATCAGAGAGGCTGGCTTGGCCACCAAGGACACACAGCATAAACATTGCATAGAGTCCTTTGACTCTAAGGCATGGTCCCCACCCTAACCCACTCCCACCTACTAAAGTTAGGAGACGGGAAAGGAGCCCATGGACTGAGAAGAAATTAGGAGAAAGAGCAGGGTAACCAAGAGGTAATCACATGTCCCACACTTGCCTGCCTACTGGACTTCAGACCAGTGGTCCTGCGGGCCCATCCTGGGTCAGGCATCCTAGGTTCCAGAGGCTGAGCTCACCAGGATCAATTCCAAACCACAAAGTTAACTGAGGGATGGGGGAGATATGTAAAGCCTGGTTTCTGTTCTTCAGTCTATTGGGGAGATAATTCAGATACATTAGCCTTTACCCAGCTCAGGAAGTAAGAGACCATTGCACTGAGGTTCCATTAGAATAGGAAGGTTGCTGCAGGATCGTTTAAGACTAAGTCCTCTAGCACAAAACCCAAGTGATATTAAAGATGAGAAAAGGGAGACATCAACCTGAGAAGAACAAATAAAAAAATGTAAGTCACGCTCTCCTTCCAGGAACTGTCAAATGGGAGAAAGGGAAATATAAAAAATTAAGTATGTTTCTCACAAAAGAACCTAAGGTAGCCAACAATAAAAGATAGATATAGAGATATAAATATATGATTGTTAAAGAAGAATAGAAGCTTTCATGGTAGATGAAAAATCTATACTCCCAAAGTGCTAGGATTAGTGTTAGGGTTAAAAGTTAGCTCTGAGCATCTTGGCAGCAAAATCAAAAAGGGAATCAGAAGCCAGTTGCCTGAAGTTCACTCTCCATTCAAAGGAAATATACCATTTCATGAGTAGAGAGACAAATGTTTTTCCTAGTGCTAAATAAATTCATCCCAAGGTCCCAAACTACATAATATAATGTCTCTTGCAAAAGCATTTTTGGAAGATATGGCTCTAAACAAAAAACAAAAGAAAAGGAAGCCAAGGAGGTTGACTTCTGCATCAAGAAGCTACACTGACCACACATCTATTCTCCAAAGTCAGATCTCACTAAAATGATGATAAAAGAATAAAACTTACAACAGAGAGAAATATGAAGGAGCCAACCATAGACAAGAGATTTCAGCTAATTTCCAGAAGCCAGGAAATGGATGGAGAAGTGGATACCGGATTTAGCCCAAGTTAGAACTTCAGGGCCCAGAGACACCAGGAACACATATGGCAGAAGTGAGATGAGGAGCAGAAATCAGGAAAATTAACTGATAGAGTCAATAGAAAGAACAGCGGGCACCCCCCACTTTCTGCCTGCTTCCCCAAATACAGAACATTCAACAATTGAGGGGCTTATCGCCCAAGCAAATAATTAAAATATCCTCATCTGGAGAATAATGGAGAGTAATGTGCTCTGGCATTTGAGAGCCTGGTATGTAGGTTTAGTGTGGCAGATAGCTCCCAGCCCAATCCCTCCTAAAGGGAAGCCAAGAGTCAATGACCCCTGTCCACTACCTGGAGCTCCAGGAGCTTTATTGCCTCCTCTTAAGCATGAAATGACAACCAAGTTTTTGTAGGCACTTGAAGACCGTCTAGAACATAAAAGGGAAATAAACAAAGAAAGACCCATCTCTCATGAAAGAAGATGCTGTGGAAAGCAACCATCAAAAGATAAGAAATATTATTAGAAATTAAAATATCACTGAAAATTTTCTAAATTCACTAGGGTTGGAAGAGAGAGATGAGTTAGTCTCTCAGAAAGTAGACTAAAAGCACAGAGAGATGGAACCTATGAGCAAAATAATAACAGTCATAAAGAATCAATCCAGGAATTCCAGGAGTTCTCTAACTGACGGGAATTCTGAGAGAGAGAGAATAAAATGGAGAAGATCATGAGATAAAAATATGAGAGACTTTCCAGCTCTAATGGACACATTCAATTTAAAGATTTTAGGGCCAAGATGGAGGCATAGGTAGAAACACTTTTCCTCCTCACACAACCAAAAGAAAGACAACAACAAATTTAAAAACAAAAAATAACCAGAACTGCCCAAAAATTGAACTGTATGGAAGTCCAACAACCAAGGAGTGAAAGAAGAAACAGTCATCCAGACCGGCAGGAGGGGCGGAGATTGTCAGCTCACGGCAGAGGACTCGAGGCAAGGTGGCAGTGAACAAGTAGAACAGGAACAGAAACACAGGAATGGAGATCAGAGGGGAGGGGAAGCAGGGAGAATGGGGGAAAAGGTACAGGGAATAAGAAGCATAAATAGTAGGTACAAAATAGACAGGAGGAGGTTAAGAGTAGTATATAGGGAATGGAGATGCCAAAGAACTCATATGTATGACCCATGGACATGAACTAAGGTGGGGCAGGGAGGGGCAGGGAATGCTGGTAGGAGGAGGGATGCGGGACAGAGGGGAATGAAGGGGAGAAAAAATAGGACAACTATAATAGTATAATCAATAATATATATAAAAATAAAAAAATAAAAATTTTACTGCATGACTGGCACAATAAATGAAAGGGGGGACCCACATCTAGATACATCACTGTGAAATTTCACTAAAGCAAAGATAAGAAGACTATCTTAAAAGACAGATCACTTAAAAAGGAAGTAGAACACAACAAATGTTAAGAATTGATGGTGTAATACTTCCAAGTTCTAAAAGCTCAGTTTTGCCTTAGAATTCTGTGTTCAACCAAACTATGAAGTAAGTGGGGAAGGTGATGAAGAAAAAGACACTTTTCAGACAGCTCACAGAAAACTCACTTCCCACATAGCCTTTCTTAAGAAGCTAATTAAGGATGTTCCCCAGAAAAACAAGGAAGTAAGCCAATAAAAGAGAACATGTGGAATTCAGGAGACACTAGCTCTAACCCGGGAGAGAATAGAAGGGATTTCCCAACATGACAAGTGAGCGGCAAGGCCAGGAAGCAGTCAGTCCAGGCTGTGGCAGAAGTATTGTGAGCCCATAATATACCTGGTATGATGAAGAATTGGGGTGGGCGGAAGCAATTAGGCTAGGTTAAAAGGAAGTCATGCAAGGAACAAAGAAGGGCAATTAGACACACAATGAAGTAGACAGATGATGTATTATAAATTGTACACTTGAAACCTATATAACTATATTAACCAATATCACCCTAATACATTTAATTTTAAAAGATAAAAATAATATACTGTAAAAGAAAGACAATTAGAAAGTCCTAGAAAAAACAAAAAGTTTCCAAGAATGGAAATGTTATAGAACACAGCTCTGCTAGAAGCAATATGCTTACATATTGTCTAAGTACTAGTCACTGTAAGTACTAGTCACTGATTTGTTTCAATGTTAGATTCAACCTAAAGGCAAAGCACAGAAAATGATTATAATTATACAACAAACATAGACATTACCACCTAAATGACAATAAGTATAGAACAGAATCCAATAGAACTTTCTATGAAGATGGAAATGTCCTGTCCAAAATGGTAGCTACTAGTCACATTGAGTGACTGAGTACTTCAAATGTGATTGGTGTGACTGATTAACTGAAGTTTTTATTTTATTTAACTTTAATTAAGTTACATATAAATTTACAAGTCATAGGTGGCAGGTGGCTACCTTATTGGACATTGGAAGAATAGAGGACAAGCTAGGAGGTGGGAGGAAACAAAAGGGATGCTGGCATCATTGTACTACAGAATGACAGTCAGAAGATACTATAGTTAATAGAATGAGTGAGAAATAAATGTATGAGAACATTCTGTAAAAGTCCAGTACTGGCCAAAAAAGGAACTAGAAATAGGGATATAACTACATTGGGAGGAAGGAAGAGGACTCAGTGAAAATGGCCATAAATAAGCTAAGTCCTCTGCCATCAAGGTACGGAGCTGTATAGAAGATGTTCTTTTCATAAATCAAAAAGGAGAGATATGAGCATGTTACTTAAATATGGATGTGCTACCTGGAGAAAAAGCTAAAACACTTAAGAAGTGGTTTGCCACTGGGAATGGTAAGTTTCTATTACCTTGTAATATAAAACCTTCTGCACTGTTTAATTTTTACATCATGGGTATGTATCATTTTGATGAAAACTGAAAACAACCTACCTAAATTTATAACACGTTCTCTAAAAAAAAATGTGAAGGGACTTCCAGCCAAGATGGAGGTGTAGGTAGATACACTTTGCCTCCTCACACAGCCAAAAGAAGGACAACAACAAATTTAAAAACAAAAAATAACCAGAACTGCCTGAAAATTGAACTGTATGGAAGTCCAACAACCAAAGAGTTAAAGAAGAAACAGTCATCCAGACCGGTAGGAGGGGTGGAGATGGGCAGCCAGGGCAGAGAGGACTCGAGGCAAGGTGGAAGCTGGAGAACCGGGCAGGGGAGGCAGCGGCTGGTGGACCAGGCAGTCCCACATTTGCATGCCAATAAACTGAGAGGAACACCTGGGGAGCGAGACAGACTGAGAAATCCAGGGTTCCAGTGCGGAAAAAGAAAGCCTCAAAACCTCTGGAGGTAAAAACCTGTGGGGGTTGCAGCAGCGGGAGAAACTCCCAGCCTCACAGGAGAGTTTGTTGGAGAGACTTACAGGGAGCTAGGATATACACAAACCCACTCACCCAGGAATCAGCACCAGAAGGGCCCAAGCTGCTGTGGATAGCGGGGTAAGTGACTGAAAATCAGACGAGAGAGCCGAGCAAACAGCATTGTTCCCTCTCAGACACCACCCCCGCCACCTACAGCGTCACTACACAGTGACCTGGGATGCCCCGCCCTGGCGAATAACTAAGGCTCTGTCCCTTCCAACATAACAGGTGCACTGAGACAAAGAAATATGGCCCACAGGAAAGAACAGATCAAAGCTCCAAAAATAGAACTAAGCGATGAAGAGATAGCCAACCAATCAGATGCATAGTTCAAAACACTGGTGATGAGGATGCTCACAGAAATGGTTGAGAGTGGTCGCAAAATAGAGGAAAAAGAGAAGGCTATACAAAGTGAAATAAAGAAAAATGTACAGGGAACCAACAGTGAAGAGAAGGAAACTGGTACTCAAATCAACAATTTGGAGCAGAAGGAAGAGATAAACATTCAACCAGAACAGAATGAAGAAACAAGAATTCAAAAAAACAGGGAGAGGCTGAGGAACCTCTGGGACAACTTTAAATGTTCCAGCGTCCGAATCATAGGGGTGCCAGAAAGACAAGGGGAAGAGCAAGAAACTGAAAACTTATTTGAAAAAATAATGGAGGAGAATTTTCCCGATCTGGTGAAGGAAATTGACTTCCAGGAGATCCAAGAAGCTCAGAGAATCCTAAAGAAGTTGGACCCAAGGAAGCAAACATCAAGGCACATCATAATTACATTACCCAAGATTAAAGACAAGTAGAGAATCTTAAAAGCAGCAAGAGAAAAGGAGACAGTTACCTAAAAAGGAGTTCCCATAAGGCTATCAGCTTATTTCTCCAAAGAAACCTTTCAGGCAAGAAGGGGCTGGCAAGTAGTATTCAGTCATGAAAGTCAAGGACGTACATCCAAGATTACTCTATCCAACAAAGCTATCATTTAGAATGGAAGGGCAGATAAAGTGCTTCCCAGGTAAGGTAAAGTTAAAGGAGTTCATCATCACCAAGTACTTATATGAAATGTTAAAGGCATTTATCTAAAAAAAGGAGAAAATGAAAAACTATGAACAGTAAAATGACAACAAACTCACGACTATCAACAGCTGAACCTAAAAAAAAAAAACAAACACAAAAAAACTAAGCAAACAACTAAAACAGGAACAGAAACACAGGAATGGAGATCAGAGGGGAGGGGAAGCAGGGAGAATCGGGGAAAAGGTACAGGGAATAAGAAGCATAAATAGTAGGTACAAAATAGACAGGGGGAGGTTAAGAGTAGTAGAGGGAATGGAGATGCCGAAGAACTCATATGTATGACCCATGGACATGAACTAAGGTGGGGCAGGAGAGGGGCAGGGAATGCTGGTAGGAGGAGGTGTGCAGGGCTGAGGGGAATAAAGGGGAGAAAAAAATGGGACAACTCTAATAGCATAGTCAATAAAATATATTTTTAAAATTTTAAAAATAAAAATAAAAAAATTTAAAAACCTTGAGGGTTTTAAAGGTTCATAAAAATACATAACTCCATGGCAGTTTGTACTAAGTGCCAAATAGAAGATATCGGGCATTCTGTGCTATCAGAGTCTGGAGCAGGAAAGCCGCAGGGGCCTCTGCCATCAGGAAGCACTCCTTAGAGGGGGTGGGCTATGGACAGGTTCTTAAATTGTAGGTTAAGGTTATCTGGGGCAAGAGGGACTTGTCACCATGCAACCATTCTTCCAGGAAAGGGTGGAGTCTCGCTGATCTTTTAGGTGTGTGAGTCCCTCTCACTGTCTCTTTTTTTTCCTCTCTCTCTCATTCACCATCACTTTCTGTCTCTGTCTTTCATCTTTCTCTATATTTGTCTCTCCCTCTCTGTGTCTGCCCCTGTTGGTCTCTGAATCTTTCTTGCTGTGTCTTTCTCCCACTGCATTTTTCTCTCTATATCTGCGTGTCTCTGTCTCCCTCTCCAACTCTCTCTGAGTGATTGTCTCTCTCTGCCGCTCTTTGTCTCCCTCCCCATTTCTGTGTCTCTGTTGCTCTGTCCCACTGTTTTTCTGCCTTTCTTTTTGTCTCTGTGAGACTCCCTCTATCACTCTTTCTCCCTTATGCTTTGTCTTTGTGAAACACTCTTTCTGTTCATCTCTGTCTCTCCATCTGTGCCCACTTCCAACTCTACATCTTCCTATCTGTGTCCTCTCCCCTCACCCACCGCCCCTCCACTTCCATCTGCCCATCAGAGAGAAAGATAACCTGTGGCAGAAGGTTCAGCATCTCTCTTCCGTGGCCCCTGGATGCTGTATCGGCTGTGGCAAGTTCTTTGGCCGGTTGTCTCGGCGGTATACATGCAGGTAATGGGTAGGATACAGAATCCTTGCCCTGGGACAGCCCAGTTTCCACCAGCCCAAAGCCCCCTGCCCTCTCTGGGGAAGGTAAAGATACAGGAACTGGGCGTTTTTGAAATGCTACTTAAAGCTGGCCACTCATATTACCTTGCACTTAGCAGAGACATGAACGAGAACAGTGGAGAAAGGTCAAACAGAAATGGCGTCTGGAAGATGGAATCCTATAACAGGAATAGACTGATTAATGGGCTTCTCGTCTAGGAAGAGATTTCCTGTACAGAGGGAGCTACTGCCCTCCTCTCCTGGGAATATAATGGCAGGACAAGCAACAAGAGAGAGGAAAGTGGGCCCTCAGGAGAACCTGTCGTTTGGAATTAGAGGACCCTAGAGGAGTGGGGCATTGGACAGCCTTTAGGAAAGGGGAGGACTCCTGGGACAAACCCAGGGCTATTCTGCTGGGAAATGAGCAACAGACAGGTAGCTCGAATATGCTTGAACCCCATGACCCCCTCCCCCATACACACCCAAGTGCTCCTCACTCTTTCCACCTTGGCTCCCAGGCTGTGTGGAGGCCTGGTTTGCCATGCCTGCTGTGTGGATTACAAGAAGCAAGAGCGCCGCTGCCCACCCTGTGCCCAGAAAGGAGAAGCCCAGGTCATCTGATCAAGACCCACCTAGGACTGGCCATCCCACCCCGCCTCCCCTCAGCTCTCCCAGGACCTGTGATCTGATAGCACTGCCTTCTAGAACTTGGTGACTTCAGGCGGACAGCACTTGAGTTGCCAGACTGTGGTGTGGAGGATGGAAGGAGCCAGGCTGGCAGGCAGGAGACAGGCTGGAGCCCTGCACCTACGACCAATGAGCTGGGCGACTCTGTCAAAGCCCTCAGCTCTCTGGACATTTTCCGGTAACGTGAGGAAGCTGGACACCATCCACTCTAACGTCCCTTTGGGCTCAGGAAGTCCTTGACTGTGTATAAGACCCGACAGCCCTGACTTTCTCCTCCACACTCCCCCTTCACCACACTGCTCTGTCTCAGGGTCCTCAGGAGCTTCCTGTCTGGGGTCTGCTTTAGGGTCTGTTTTTGTTCTGTTTTGTTTGTAACAGCTTTCCTGAGGTTCTCCTAACATATATACACTTCACATAAATTGTATCATTTGATGACTGTTGACTTTAATTTATACCCATGAAATCATCACCGTATTCAAAATAATGAACACACCCATCAGCCCCAAAGTTTCCCATGCCCTTTGTAATCTCTCCCTCCCCCCCTCCTCATCCCCACGCAACCACTTACCTGCTTTCTGTCACTAGAGACCATTTTGCATTTTCTAGAATTATATATATATAATTTTATATAAATTGTAATTACATATATAGAATTTTATATAAATGGAATCATACCGTCTGCCTTCTTTCATTCGGCATAATTACTTTGAGAGCCATCCCAGTTGTTGTACATACCCACAGTTCCCTTTTACTATTGAGTAGTATTCCACTGCATGGATATACCGCAATTTGTTCACCCATTCTATTCACTTGTTCTAAACCTTTGGGTTGTTTCTAATTTGGAGCCATTACAAATCCGTCTCCCATAATCATCTGTGTAAGAATCTTTGTGTAGACATATGCCTGTATTTCTCAAGGGTTAATACCTAAGAATGCAATGGTCAGGTCTTGTGGCAAGTATATGTTTAAGAAATTGCTGAGTTATTTCCCACAGAGATTGTAGATTGTATGTTGTACCCTCCCACGAGCAGCATGTGAGTGTCCCAGTTGCTCCCCAGGGCATCTGGTTTGGTGAGCAGGACAGGGGGCACAGACAGAGAACTTGGGCCTCTCTTCTTTCCCTTCCAACCACAATGGTGAATTGAATGGTCCCAGTGGTGAACTGAATGGCCAGTGGGAGGCGCTGAGTCCAGGTGACTCTATGCAGTGTTCACGCAGCTGGATTTTAATAAAGACAGTTGACGAGGATTCGTGTAGCTCCATGGTGCAAGAGTATATCCTCTGACTGCCCAAGAAGTCTTACACAAATTGTGTACCCAATTGCAGTATTTCTGAAAATACTGTTTCTGAAAAAGCGTGGGCCCCACCCTACATCAAGGCAATTTGCTGCCCTACAAATCCTCTAGGGCATACTCTGTGGCCCCAAGCAGGCATACATGCTGTCCCCCTGCCCCCTGCCCCCTGCCTCACACAACTACCAGCAACTCTGCAGTGGGTGGGCAACTCTGTGGCTCTGACCAGAGCCTCTGGACCACCTCTTGGGCTCAGAGCCACCTAGAGTTGCATCCCATTACCATCTCATGGAGCAAGAGTTTTGCAACAGCAGTTCCCTCCCTGGAGAGTTGGTGAGAACTTCTCCTTAGCAGAGTCAGCCACATGGTGGCGGGGGAGGGGCAGAGGGAAGGAAATGAAGGGAGCAGGCATGAGGGGCGGGTGGCAGAGATGGGACTCCCAGAGCAGTCAGGACAAAAGAATCACCCTCCCCTAAAGGTCAGCAGTCCCTTTCGGGAAGTCAGACTTGCTCTGATACTTTTATTAGGGCATGGTTCTTACTGTAGCTGAAGACATCATATTTAGTAGGAACTCCACCATGGCATTGAGGTCTTCCTGATAAGCTGAGGGGGCAGAGGGGGCCTAGGAGAAACCTATGTTCAAAGAGGAAGCAAGACGCTACTTGACAAGAACTCATCAGAAGGAAGTTAGGGGCCAAGAAAGGGGGCCAAGTACCCCTGGCTCGGAGGGAAGGAAGAGCAATGGTGGGAACCAGCTTAACACTACTCCACTAAGAGTTCCCACCAAGACCAATGGAGAACACAAGAGCTCCACAGAGACACTGCAAAAGCTCATTAGACCTTGAGAACAGGCAGGCAGAAAGCCACCCCAGATCGTGACACCGTGAGGGGGCAAGACCTTCAGCAGTGACTTCAGGCCACGTATATAGCACAGCAGCACTCAGACGAGCACGTGGGATATGTCCCCAACAGACTCCTCCAAGTTCCTGGGGAGCACTTGCCAGAGGGATGAAGCCTTGTACAAGCTCACAGGTCTGAGCCAGTACTATTTGGATTATTGCTATTGATGTGACCGTGTTGTACTCACAGGCTGGGGGTGCCCTGAGAAATTTGGGCAGCAATTATTTCTTTAGTTAGATATCACTCAGATGTTCCAACATACATCAGTTTCCCACTTTGTCAATTCATTCAGCGCTCAAGAAAATTACATTATACACCTAGGATATGGCAAACACTGATTGGTTTGGGGATACAGAGGTTATGTATATGTACACAATACCTGCTTTCACAAACCTCACAGTGAGGAGCAGGAAACAGCCAAACAGATGATTACAAATCCCTGTAACCGAAGACATGATAGAGGAAGCCCAGGGGTGCAGAGAGCACATGACAGCAGTCCACAGAGGTGATCCCTGGGCTGAATTTAAAAGGAAATGGGAGAGATGGCCAGACCAAGAGGGTGGGGAGGAGCATGCCAGACAGAGGGAAATGCATGCCAGGCCCTGAAGAGGACCCAGAACAGTTCCTAGGGGAAGTACACAGAGATCCCTGTGGCTGAAGTTAAGAGTTCAAGGGGGTGTGGCCTGAAACGAGGTGGAGAGGTCCACAGGCATCAGGTACAGGAGCACCAGGTCCCGAGTCAGGAGTCTGAAACAGAGGGTAATGGGGGTCCTTGAAGGGTTGTAAGAGGAGAAGAGCGTGACCCAATTTACACTTTAGGGAGATCGTTCCAGTAGCAGAGTGGAGGAAAGTCTTGAGGCAGAGAGCATTTAGGAGAATAGTGGTAGTAACGGTAGCCGCAGCAACAGCCCACACTGCCAAGCACCATTCTAAGGGCTTTACATATGTGGACTCATTCAATCCGCATGACAGTGGGTGCCCTCAGTGTCCTCGTAATATTACGGTTGATGCAACTGAGACCCAGTGAGATTAAACAACTTGCCCAAGGTCAACAACCGGTAAGTGACATCGCTGGGATCCAAACTCAGACAGCCCAGCTCTGGAATCCACAGCTGTCACCTGGCTATTGCAGTAGCTTCAGCGAGAGAGAATGAAGTGTTGCTTAACACTGTCAGGGAATGTGGTGAGGAGGATGTAACTGAGAGATGTTAGGGAGAGAGCTTCAGTAGAGAGGAAGGGGGAGGGGCGTGTGGGGGAGCGCCAGATGGAAGAGAGGGCCCTCTGAAGGAGAAGCACGTGGGAGTTTGCAGCATTTGCGGAACCTCAGGGGAGATTTCATGAGGAAATGTGTGTAAGAGTTTGAGCTTAGGAGAGCGCTTAGAAGAGAAGTTAGGAACTACAGGTATGGGAGTCACTGGTGAATTAGGTGGTCCCTAAAGCCAAGGAAGGAGGTGGGCTGGCCTGGGGAGAGCAGATAGAGAAGGGGACTAAGGCAGAACCCTGGGAACATCCAATTTCAGGAATGAATTGATAATAAAGCAACAAACAAGACCAAGCAGGAAAGGAAAGAGAATAGGGTCAGTGAGATTAAATGATGCAGAGATCAGATAAGATAAGGCTTGAATGATGACGATTTCACCATAAATAAAAGTTAAAAAGCATAGAGTAGGCTGGGCCTTGGCTGGTGTGACTTAGTGGATTGACTGTCGGCCTGAGAACCAAAGGGCTGACGGTTCGATTCCGAGTCAGGGCACGTGCCTGGGTTTTGGGCCAGGTCCCCAGTAGGGGGTACAGGAGAGGCAACCACACATCGATGTGTCTCTTCCTCTCTTTCTCCCTCCTTTGCCTTCTCTCTAAAAATAAATAAATAAAATCTTTAAAAAGAAAAAACATAGAGCAGGCTAGGAGAAAATGTATAGTTTACCATAGTTGACAAATATGGGATAGTGTGAGTAGAGAAGGTATCAAGCCCTTTTATAAACTGATGGTGGTGGAATAAACTGGGACAGTCTTTTTGAAGCGCCATATAGTCTTGTTTATCAAAATTTAAACATGCATAGATAGGACCCTGCAAAACTATACTTAAGCTACAGAAACACTGAGACACATTTCAAAAAACTACACCCAAAGAAGCTCATAGCAAGAACCTAAATGTCCATCTATAAGGTAATCATCAAATAAATCATGATACATACATACTATGGACCAATATGTCATCATCAAAAAGAGTGAGATGAAGTGAAATAAGCCAGTCAGAGCAAAACAATTACTATATGATCTCACTTATATGTGGACTCTAACCAACAAAATAAACTGACAAACAAAATAAAAGTGGAGGCATAGATACATGGAACAGACTGATAGCTGTCAGAAGAGAAAGGGGCTGAGGGACTGGATGAAAGAAGATGAAGGGATTAGCCAAAAAACATCCAGCGTGTAGACAACAGTGTGGTAACAGCCAGAGGGAAAAGAGGGTGAGGGGTAGCTGGAGGTGGGCAAAGGGGGGAAACAAGGATGGAAAGAGGCTTTGCTTGGAGCTGTGGGCCATGATGCAGTGTGCAGATGACGTTTTATTGTGCACTTGAAACCTGTATGGCTTTGTGAACCAGTGTCACCCCAATAAATTCAATTTTAAAGGAAGTGAGATGGATCTCTATGTACTGATGTGGAATAAGTCCATGGTAAGTTGCAGAAAATACATTGTTAAGGTGCAGAAAATATAACTAGTTAAATACAGTATATTTTTATTACGGAAGGAAAGAAAACTTGTTTGTATATGCACTGGGGAAAGACAAGTATAAGTGAACAGAGGACTAGAAGGGAATCTTTCAAGTTTTATTTTGTAGGCTTTTGTTTCACCTATATTCATGCCAATATACATGCTTTATATTTATAACATTAAGGCAGTTTTATTTAAGAGAAGGGTTTATTGGATTTAGTAAATGAGAGGTCACTGGTAACCCTGGCAAAAGCTGTTTCAGCAAAGCAGTGGGAAGGAAGCTAGCTGCAGTGGGTTAAACAGTGAACAAGAGCTGGCAAAGTAGAGACAGCTGCTTTGTCAAGAAGTTTGTTAATCAAAAGGAGGGCATAGGGGAATGGTGGCTATATGGGACCTAGAAGAGGGGAAGGAGAGAAGGACATAGCAAGTTCAGGGGCTGAAGGGAAAGAAGGTGGTTGAAGGGCAAAGGGCCAGGAGGGAGGATCCTCAAGTATGTGAGAGGCAGAGGGTCCCACAGCCAGGTGCAGGAATTCACCAGAAAGAGGCAAGAGGGACACTTGTCACGCTGACCCTAGAAAGAAGGAAGAAAGTGTACATGCAAATTTAGGCAAGCCTGTCAGCTGGAGGCTAGGGTCGCCTGCATCTTCCTTTTAAAGAAGGAAGTGAGGATTCAAAACTCACAGAGACAGAGATATACTAGGCAAACCTCCACCTTCAGACTAGCAGTCTCCTCCAGAAGCCACTAGACAGGAAGGTGTGAAAATTCCCAGAGCTGATACAGAATCGCCTTGTCCTGGAGTCAGAGCCCTAGGACAGACCTTACTGCTCCTCTGTGGGAACATGTCCCCTGGTGGGTCTCTTGGATTTCCCCTCTGGCAATTCTGGCTCAGAACTTTCCTCATGAGGTCTGGTTTACTTTCTTCCTGTCCAACAGCCCTGACTGCTACCAAGCCCTGAGTCACAGCGGATGTATCAGAGGCCACTTCAGTTACAACAACAGCTGTAGCAGCAACAGCAGGTAGGTGAGCTGTTCAGTCTTAGACTGCTGGGGACATAGTTCTGATGGAAGAGTCTTGGAAAGTTCAGTCTGAGTCCTCTAAGAACTGAGGTGATGAAGCGCAGACTGGTAGAGCTAAAGATAGCTGTCTTTCACCTGGATAGTACAGTACAAAAGAACTTTCTGCAATAACAAACGTATTCTATATCTGCACTACTCAGTGTGATAGCCACTAGTCACTTGAAATGTGGCTGATATGACTAAGGAACTAAATTTTTTAATTTAATTAATTTAAATTTAAGTTGCCACATGTGGTCAGTAGCTATCGTATTGGACAGTACATATCTGGAACAATTGAAACACAAAACGTTAGCATTGGTGCTGCCTATCTCTATGAGAACCAATTAGTAGAGACAAAGGTTGAATCTTTTGGTTTTTTAAAAAGATTTTACTTATTTATTTTTAGAGAGGGGAAGGGAGGGGGAAAAAGAAAGGGAGAAAAACATCAATGTGTGGTTGCCTCTCACATGCCCCTTTCTGGGGGTCTGGCCCACACGCCAGGCATGTGCCCTGACTGGGAATTGAACCAGCAACCCTTTGGTTTGCAGGCTGATGCTCAATCCATTGATCCACACCAGCCAGGGCAAGGATTAAATCTTTATGGTCACTTTATTTAGGTGGCCAGCAATCTGAGAAGACAGTAGGTTATGTACCCTAAAGACTGTCTTACATCCCATCTGAAGCTGACCTTAGGAAAGTGTAAGTAAGACGTTGAAATTCAGAAAAAAGTAGGTGAGGGGTTTGGAATTCAGAGAAAAAGGTGAATCAGATACAAGTTGCAGTCTGGTGATTTTCCTAGCATTCTTTCTTCTGTTGACTAGTGATTCTTTATCTGTGTCCTGGGTAGTGGACGTTCTCTCCCTGGAACACAATGGCTCAGATACCATCTTGATCACTTACAGTCCTCCTGGGGCACAAAGGTTCACTTGCTGTGGGTCTCCTGGAGTCAGGGCAGGTCCGATCAGAATTCCAGTTCCTGGAACAATTGCTTTCTACAGGTATTAATTCCCAAGCCCATTAACTATAACTAGAAGCTAAAAAATTTTCACCCCTTGAGTTCTCCCTTCACAATCTCCTCATTTTTCCAATGAACCACATCAAGACTCAGAGACAAGAGACTTGTCCAAGCTCACATGGATCATTAACAGCAGAAACAGGTTTGAGGGTTCTTTAAAAGAACCAAGATCTTTATTCATTTCACCATCAATATGTATATGGTGAGGTCAGCGGAAATGAAATCAACCTAATGAAAATCAAGAAATGGGTGAGTTAGGAAATGTCAAATCTGGGCTCTCTGTTCTACACCTTTTGTATTCAGTTGTCTGGGAAAGAGTAATACCTAACGAGGTTCAGAAAACTCAGGATAGCATCCAGCCCCTAGTTATAGTGGACAGAATACAAGATTTGAGATCAGGTTAAAAAAAAAAAGTTTTAAAACTGTTCAACACCCAGTTCATCTGTGTCATTCTAGGTAAGTTGCTTAACTCCTAGAGTCTTAGTTTCCTCATTCACAAAGTGCATTTCGTTGCGAGAAGTAAGTGCCTTTTTTTGTGAGGAGTAAATGATACAGATTCTGAAAAGCACTTTTTCCAGAAAGTAGACCCTCACAGGCACTCAACAGTACAGCTAGTGTGACTACTGTTACCCAGGTCAGAGCAAGTTAAAGTGTACATTGAAGCCAGTCTGGACAGCAGACACACTGCTTTCTCCTGGTTGGGGATGTGGGGAGAGACAGCATGCTGCTGGCTGACAAATGATTTCAGTAATAATGATCATGACAATCAGTGCGAACATCATGCTTTCTATGTGTCTTAAGTACTTTTCAGGTACTCTCTGATTTCATCCTCAGTCTCATTTTACAGATGAGTAAACAGGCTCAGAAAGGAAAGGTCACCTGCCTGGAGTTGCTCAACTAGCAGACTTCTTAACTGCCACTCCTACATGTCTCTCTCTGTATGTAAGAGCCTCTGGTGTTAGCATCGCTTGGCCAGGAGTCATTGCATTCCTCTCCAGCATGCGAAAGAGAGAGATGACAAAGAATGTTTGCTGAGCAGTTGGATTCAGAGGTTCTTTCCCTGGGGTAGGCAGCATAGGTGAGCTCGCCACAGGCTCTGAGCACTCACTGGGTGAGAAGTTAGAGCACGGACTGGTGGAGGGATTGAGACGCTAGGTAGGGGCTTTGTGTTCATCGCTCTGCCTGTGTTTATCCTTTAAATTGCAATCAATAGCAAATGTGATAAACTATGTTCTTAGTGTCATTCAACACTGTTTATAAAAATATGTTTGGACTTATTTCATGGTAAATTATGGTAGGGTTTTAAGTTTTACCTGAAAGCTTTGTTTTCAAATTAGATGGTCTTGGTTCCAAAGGTGGACTCAATCCCAAGGGCACAAGCCAAGAAAAAAGGGCAATGCCTTAAAAGGGGCTCATGGTTAAAGCAGATGTTTGGGGAGTGAGGTGAAGGACAAAGAGAGGTGGAATGGGGGAGGTGGCATAGAGAAGGAATCTGTGAGGCTTTAAGGATTCTTGGGGTGGGTGGGGTGGAGGCCAGAGGCATTAGGTCCAAAGAAGAAAGCTACCAGATCCAGGAGCTTAAGTTCCATCTTGGTTGTCTTAATGAGCTGTTCCCCTTCCAGGTATGAAAGATGTTCAAGAGAGGCAGTGCTGTTGGATACTAAGCCCTGAGAAGCTGGAGGCAGCTAGAGTGCGGAGGGAGTCAGACAGGGCAGGGGCTGCTGAGATCAGGGCGAAGACGAGAGAACTCTGAGTGGTCTTGGGCAAACTCCTTCCTTTGGATGGGTCTCAGTGTCCTTATCTGTGAAACAGAAGATTGGCTAGAAAATGCTACAGGTCCTTTCCCAGTATGAACCCTACCAGTCCATATGTTGAGTGGTCAAAGAGCTGACGTGGAAATTAATTATTCAAGTTATCAAGAGCATCCCGCACCCTCAGGAACTCCACCCCAAATTGAGCAATCTAATCCACTACTCACTTCCTCCACTGTGTTCTCATCACCACCGCCCTTGCAGTCAGGCACATCTGCTCCCCTGGAGGTGTCCTACAGGTGAAAAGCCCAGAGTCCTGGTAAGTCTTGGGACACTCACCCCTCTCACCATTCGGACCATCTTTGTTCTTTGTCTCCCTTGACACCAGCCTCCATTTATTCCCGGCATATTTTCCTACCCTGGGTGGGCCATACCCACACCCCTATGTCTCTTCATTCTCTCTCTTTACACCTTCCTATTTTCAAAGGGAGAGCTTCTGCCTCTCTCCCCTACACCTCTTTTCAAAAACTACTCAGGGCAACTCAATGCCCGCCCCCTTCCTTTCCCAACTCAGCCAGCTCTCTATGCTTTGGCCAAAATTAGGTGTGAGGAAGGACCAGACACTGTGGAGTGTCTCCTCTCATACATTAAATGCAAATATGAGTGAATGATATTTATAGAGAGGAAAAAGACTGGAACTATATTAAAATGACTGGGGTTTTTTGGTTGTTGTTGAGAAAAAGTTTGCCTTAAATGTTTGGAATCGTATAGCATTTTCATGAAATAAACTGGAATCATCCCATCCATGTTTTTTTTTTGTACTACTGTGAGTCATTAAGGGGCTGACAATTTTACTGAATGAGGGAATCTCCTGCTGGGTCACTGAGAACATGCCTGGGTGGTCAATAGGGGCCAGACAGTTCAAGGGAGTTCTGTTTATCACTCCTGAAAGGGCTGTTTCTTTCATTCTGGGCTTGAGGGATAGTCAAGAAAGCAATGCCTAACATATCAAACAACAGGAGTAAACTACACAGGTTGACTTAATGGTATCTCCAGAATTTACCTTACGAATATATGTAATATGTGAGTTGTGATTTTTTGGGGGGGAGGTGGGAGGTTATAGTTCTTAACTAGCTGAGCATTCCACCACTGTTGATGTCATCTTTCACATAAAAGGGTAACAGCCATCAACATGCCAGATCACAGACTGGGCAGTCCCCAGGATCTCTTTAATGGCTCCAGAGAGTTCTATAGCTAAAAATTGGTGCCATGTCTGTCAGGCAATGTCAACAATCTCATCAAAAGTGGTATTTCCACTGTGCTTAAGGTTTTTCTGTTTCCTTCTGTCTCTTGGCAATTTTTAGAGGGCTTCGATGGTCAGGCAGAGGCAGAGGTCCCAACGTAAATTCTGGTCCTGTCTATACTAAATGGTCGGTTTCATTGTTATCCTCAGACCCTTCCAATCACCTTTTGTCTTGACAACGTGAAAACCAACCTTTTTACGGAGACAGACCCAGGGGGCTGATCTTGGGGTCGAGTGCAGATATGGCACTGACTTCCTCACCGGTGAGCCTCTCTGGCACATGACTTTGATCTCATTGAGGCAGAACTTGGGGCGCATGGTGGCAAGGGCTGGTATCGGATAAATCTGCATTTGGGATTAATGAAGAAAGTTGCATTTGGCCTCCTCTGGGCCTAAAGCTCAGAAGTATGATTTTTTAAGGAGCAGGTTTGCAGATTGAAAATATCCTCTGGATACAGTCACACTAGTTAGAATTTTGGCTGCAGCACTTGAAGGATCTGTGACCATGGGCTCATTTCTGAGCCTCGCTGTTACTGTCCTCTCTCTGGTAAACTGGAGCTTATTCATATCTATTTGTAACAGTCACGGGAGACCCTGTACCTTTGAGTCACAAAGTAGATCTCAGAGTGTCATCTTCCTATCTTCCTTTCCTTACTTTCTCCCTTTAACTGCCAAATCATCACCTCTGGAGACTGGTTAAAAAAAAAACAACAGAACATTCTCCCTACTACCTCCACCACATCCCCACCCCAGCCAGTGGCTAGAGGTCATGGCCCTGGCCTGGTGGCCTGGTTCTCTTTTCTGAGTTCCCTACTTCTGTCCTGACTTGCATGGAAGTGGAGCTCCCCACATATACCTGCAATCTGACTCCAGCACAGTTGAGCACTGGATTGTCCAGAATGAGGGCTTATCTGTGCAGCATGATTGCCTGCTGCTGCCTCTTCTCATAGGGAAGTTTCTGCAACTGCCCCAGCTCTGAGAGAGCTCATGCTCCTAGGTGTGAGGTTCTCTTCTCTGCAGGCACAGCTCTCTGTGCCCATCAGTGATCGACATTCTCTCTCAAAGGCAGGTCTTCTCCTAGGTCATTTGTTCCCCTAAGTGCATCTCCGCTCACAGAGGTAAGCCACTCTTGACATTACAGGTTCATTGGATATAACCCTGGGCCTCTGAGCAAACTTGCTGTTGACCATGGGACTACAGGACCAGTCATTTCTTGCAGGTTTTACTGACAACACTGACCAAACCAGCTGTATGATCTTCCTCTTCCACTACCACTCCATCTTCCTGGCTGGACAGGGCTCCATCCGTATCATCCCATCTTTCTGCATTCACAGACTGATCCAACCTGCTCTCTGTGGTGTCCGTGTGCTGGGAAGGCAATTTATCTGGCCCGCATCACTTGGGGGAGAAAGTAATACCTTCTCAGAAAGGTGAAGACTGAGAATTCCACCATTCTAGGGGAAAGGAGCGTTATTCTTCCAAATTCTATTAACACCACTCAGCTTTCTTCTTTACAATGTGTGATTGACAGTAACAGACTTTTTTCTGCTAAAGAGAAAAGCTTCCTAGGAGTTTTGTTGTTGGTGATGTTGTTTTAATATTCTTTTACAAGACTATATACACCTTTGGTTAATCTTTTTTAGTTTTTTTTTTTTAATTTACTGATGAGAGAGAGGTATCACTTTGTTGTATCACTTATTTGTGCATTCATTGGTTGTTTCTTGTATGTGCTCTGACTGAGGATTGAACCCGCAACCTTCGTGTATCAGAATGATGCTCTAACCAACTGAGCTAGCTGGCCAAGGCAGGTTAATCTTTTTTTTAATTGAAATATAATTCACACACCATAAAAGTCACTCATTTACAGTGTACAACTCAGTAATTTTTAGTATATACACAAAGTAATACAACCATCACCACTATCTAATTCCAAAACACTTTTACCACCCCAAAAAGAAATCCTGTGCTTATTAACATCCAGTCTGGCCCCCCAGTTCCTGGATTAGAAAGTACTAATGTACTTTCTGTCTCTACTGATTTACCTATTCCAGGTGCGATCGTACAGTACAAAGCCTTTTATGTCTGGCTTTTTTCACTTAAAATAATGTTTTTAAAATTTATCCATATTGTAGTGTGTATCAGGACCTACTTCCTTTTTATGGTAGAATAGTATTCCATTGTATGTGCATACCGCCATTTGTTTATCTATTTATCAGCTAATGAGCAGTTAGGTTGTTTCTACTTTTTGGCTTTTATGCTGCTATGAACATTCATGTACACATTTTTGTGTGGATGTATTTTTTTTTTCTTTTGGATATATATCTAGGAGCGGAATTGCTGGGTCATATGCTAACTCTATGTTTAACTTTTTGAGCAATTGCCACACTGTTTTCCACAGCAGCAGCACCATTTTACATTCCCACCAGCAACATAGGAGGAGTCCAATTTCTCCACCTCCTTCTCAACATTGTTATTGTCCATCGTTTTTTTATTATGAGCATCCTAGTGAGTGTGAAGTAATTCCTGAGACTTTTATTTTATATTTTTCTCTTTAACACTGTGTTCCATTTGAAGGTGGGTTACAGATTTGCATATGGTCACAGGATGTTCATACCTTATAATAAAGAAATGGCATAATGGCAATATATTTTGTGGTTCAAAAGGAAGCTAATTCTGCAGCTGGTTTACTTTAGTCTACTTTCTCTTTGAAAACTGGGATAATGTTTTAGGGTGGCTGCAACTTCCCCCAGAAGCAAGCTCCCCACTAATCCCATAACAAGGGGATAATCAACAGAGATAGGTTTAGCTGGGTGTGCTGGGAGTCAGGAATGGATGAAGGCATGCGCCGGCAGGATAAGAAGTGTCCCCACCAGGACTGGGAAGCACCAAAACAAGGAGCATAGGTCTCCACCCGCCATCTCTGCTTCCTGCTGTCCCTTCTCCTTATTCTGGGAGCATCTTGGCTTTCTCTGGCCCTCATCATGGCAGAATATGACTTCCCAGAGCTCCCAAGATAATCTGTTACATTCCCACCCACCCATTTGGAGAATCAGTCAGCCACCCGCTTATGATTTTAATATAGTTTTTCAAACTACACAAATACTCTCAGAGAAGTCTTCCTGCCCCGCAAAAGAACAATGCTGAGATATGCTAACTGAGTAAACTTTTTTCTAGCTCAAGTGTCCTGAAACTCTGTGATGCTATTGCTCAGTTTTTCAAGAATACTTCTTTTTAAGTAATTTACAGAAAGTTGGACAAAGGGATTAATCTCTAAGCTTTACAGTGAAGCCTTGATCTTTTTCTATGTTCAACTCAATTGGATTGACTGCTTAATCTGCCATATTGAGAACTGCACAGCATGTTTCTGACATTAAACTCAGCCTCAGCAGTCAGGGATGCTCACCTCTGAGGTATCTGAGAAAACAGGTTTGGTAGAGATTATCCAAAGGGAAGTTTCCACAGTGACTTGAGCAATGGCAATGTCATGGAAAGTGCTAAGAACCTCTCTCTGACTTTGAATGGAACTATACCCTTTTCATGAAACATACAACTTATCACTAAATGTGTCTCCTAAGGTTAGAATTAGAGCCCCTAGTATTCCCTGAAGGGAAAATTACTTCCATGTAATATATAAGCTGATGCAAAGAATCCTACCCAAGGCAGAAAGGCTGGTATCTGGGGAAACTATTGTGCAGTAACATCCCTCTCTCTTCTGTAGGCCACAAATATGAACTACCAAAATATGGAAAACTTTGACTGGGAAAATTACACCTGGGAGGATTTCGGAAACTACAGTTACAACACTGACCTGCCTTTCTTGCCTGAAACTGCCCCATGCCGGCCAGAATCTCTGGATATCAACAAGCATGCTGTGGTTGTCATCTATGCCCTGGTCTTCCTGCTGAGCCTGCTGGGAAACTCCCTGGTGATGCTGGTCGTCTTGTACAGCCGGGTCAGCCGCTCTGTCACTGACGTCTACCTGCTGAACCTGGCCCTGGCTGACCTGCTCTTCGCCCTGACCTTGCCTATCTGGGCTGCCTCCAAGGTAAAGGGCTGGATCTATGGCACAATCCTATGCAAGGTGGTCTCACTCCTGAAGGAAGTCAACTTCTACAGTGGTATTCTACTGCTGGCCTGTATCAGCATGGACCGTTACCTGGCCATTGTTCATGCCACGCGCACACTGACTCAGAAGCGACACTGGGTCAAGTTCATATGCTTAGGCATCTGGGCTCTATCTCTGATCCTGTCCCTGCCAATCTTTATCTTCCGCAGGACCATCTATCCACCTAATTCTGGCCCAGTCTGCTATGAAGACTTGGGTGCCAATACAACAAAATGGCGCATGGTGATGCGGGTCCTGCCCCAGACCTTTGGCTTCCTCGTGCCACTGCTGGTCATGCTGTTCTGCTATGGACTCACCCTGCGCACACTCTTTCAGGCCCACATGGGGCAGAAGCACCGGGCCATGCGGGTCATCTTCGCTGTCGTGCTCGTCTTCCTGCTCTGCTGGCTGCCCTACAATCTGGTCCTGGTGGCAGACACCCTCATGAGGCTCCAGGTCATCAAGGAGACCTGTAACCGCCGAAATGACATTAACCGGGCCCTGGATGCCACCGAGATTCTGGGCTTCTTCCACAGCTGTCTCAATCCCCTCATCTATGCCTTCATTGGCCAGAAGTTTCGCCATGGACTCCTCAGGATCATGGCCACCCATGGCCTGATCAGCAAAGAATTCCTGGCCAAGGACAGCAAGCCCTCTTTTGTTGGCTCTTTTTCAAGGAGCACTTCTACTACCCTCTAAGACCCCCAGCCCTGGTGCAGCCCCACAGGGCTCCTCTCCTCCTGTTAGCACCCAAGCCTCAAGTCTACTGGCTATTCAGAGTGTCTGTGGCAGGCCAGCCCCTCATTGTGGTCACAGGAAGTTGCTGAGGCCGTGACCTTGCCAGCCCCCAGTGTACGGTCGAGAAAGCCCGCCCTGCAGCCTCGCCCCTCACTGTAATTACTATGTCAACTGCTAGAGCTCTGTCCATCCTACCACTCAGCCCCTAGCATTCTGTCCTCGGAGGTGTTTCAAAGACGTGCTTTCAAGTGAGTTCACAAAGTTCCCACCGTTGGGAGCCATCAGTGGCAAGCACCGCGATTATTTCCCCAACTCTCCCTTTCCTTGCTTGCTAGCAAAGTCTGCTTCCCGTGGAGAGGCCAAAAGTGACAGATACTCACTTCCGTGATTCCGGTAAGCTAGGAGTGGCCATATTCTCCAGTTTCAACCAGGAAAACTTGTAGACAAGAGTGTGCTGGTAAACCAGTCTGCTATGGAAAGAAAAACTCCTGTTTTTGTAGTGTTCACCAAGTTCCGTGTTATAAACACTCCCACCATGGCAATTTCAAGGGTGGAGATGTTTAGCAAGCAGCTCAAAAAATTCTAGAATGTAATAATCTGTTTTCATAAGCAGGTACAAACTGGCTTTTGCAAAACATTGCTCAAATGGAGTCTGCTAGGGCCAGGGGACTCCTGGGAAATATTCCTGATTTAGAAAGAGAAGAACACACAATCCTACAGCTTTGGGTCTTGTGTTTGAATATGGATATAGGATATGATATGTGGTACTGAGGCAGCGCTTTTGTGAAGATGAAGCAAAAAAAAAATTTAACACACTTAGGCTGATGAAGTCAGAGGACAAAAAGAACTTAAAAATGAAGAACCCAGAAATAAACCTGAGCAAGCACAAGAAGAGAACTGGTCTCTTACCTTACATCATATACAAAAATTAACTCAAAATAGATTGAAGAGTTAAACATAAGAACAAAAACTAACTCTTAGAAGAATAGAAGGGGTAAAATCTTCACAATATTGGATTTGGCAATGATGTCTTGGTTATGACACAAAAAACAGAGGCAACAAAAGAAACAATAGATAAATTGGCCTTCAAAGTTAAAAACTTCTGTGCATTAAAGGACACTCTTCACAGAGTAAAAAGGCAAACCAGAGAATGGCAGGAAATATTTGCAAATCATATATCTTATAAGGGGTTAATATCAAGAATATATGAAGAAGTCCTACAACTCAACAGTGGGGAAAAAAGACCTTGTTCAAAAATGGGCAAAGTATTTGGAGAATAGACATGCCTTCAAAGAACACATACAAAAAAACAAATAACGAGTATTGGTGAGGATATGAAGACACTGGATGCTTGTGCAATGCTGGTGAGAATGTAAGATGGTGCAGCCAATATGAAAACAGTGTGGAGGTCCCTCATTAAACCTAGAATTACTCTATGATCCAGAAATGTCAATTCTGGGTTTTAGCCAAAAGAATGGAAAGTAAAGACTCAAATGGATAGTTGTACACTAATATTCATAGCAGCATTATTCCAGGGATAGCCAAAAAGTAGAAACAACCCAAATGTCCATCAATGGATGACCGGATAAACAAAATGTCATATATGTGTATACAATGGAATATTATTCATTCTTATAAAGGAACAAATTTCTTATCTTATATATGCTACAACATGAATAAACCTAGAAAGTATTATGCTAAGAGAAATAAGCCAGATGCAAATACTGTATGATTCCACTTATATGAGGTACCTAGAATAGTTAATTTGATAGAGACAGAAAGTAAAGTAGTGGTTACTAGGGGGTTGATGGATGGGGAAATGGGGAGTTATTGTTTAAAGGATATGGAATTCAGTTGGGGAAGATGAAAAGATTCCGGAGATGGACAGTGGTGATAATTGTACAACAATGTGAATGGACTTAATGCTATTAAACTGTACATTAAATCTTGTTGTGTATATTTCATCACAATGTTTTTTTAAAAACATAGTTGCAAAAAAGCAAACCTTGGAACCACTTACCTATAACTTCCTGTTAAATGAGATAATTAAATACGTATCTTTTTTTGTACCAACCATTTTTATTTTTTAATTATATTTGATTGATTGTGCTATTACAGTTGTCCTGATTTTTCCCCCTTTGCCCCCCTCCACCCAGCACCCCCACTCGCTCAGGCAGTCCCCACACCATTGTTCATGTCCATGGGTCATGTATATTAGTTCTTTGGCTGCTCCATTTCTTATTCTGTACTTTACATTCCCATGGCTATTCTGTAACTTCCTATTTGTACTTCTTAATCGCCTTACTTCTTCACCCGTTCCCCCACACCATCCTCCCATCTGGCAACAATCAAAACATTCTCTGTATCCATGATTTTGTCTCTGCACTTCTTGTTTGCTTAGTTTGTCTTATAGATTCAATCGTTGATAGATATGTATTTTTTGCCATTTTATTGTTCATAGCTTTGACCTTCTTCTTTTTCTTAAATAAGTCCCTTTAGCATTTCATATAATAATGGTTTGGTGATGATGAACTCCCTTAGTTTTCTCTTGTCTGGGAAGCTCTTTATCTGCCCTTTGATTCTAAATGATAGCTTTGCTGGGTAGAGCAATCTTGGCTGTAGGTCCCCGCTTTTCATGACTTTGAATATTTCTTGCCAATCCCTTCTAGCCTGCAAAGTTTTCTTTGAAAAATCAGCTGACAGTCTTATGGGAACTCCCCTGTAGGTAATTAACTTCTTTTCTCTTGCTGCTTTTAAGAGTCTCTCTTTATCTTTAACCTTTGGTATTTTAATTATAATGTATCTTGGAGTGGGTCTCTTTGCAGCCTTCTTATTTGGGACTTTCTGTGCTTCCTGGACTTGCATGTCTATTTCCTTCACCAAATTAGGGAAGTTTTCTTTCATTATTTTCTAAAATAGATTTCCAATTCTTGCTCTTTCTTTTCTCCTTCTGGCACCCCTATGATGCAAATGTTGGACCTCTTAAAGTTGTCCCAGAGGCTGCTTATATTATCCTCACTTTTTTTTTTGGATTCTCTTTTCTTCTTGTTCTTGTTCCAGATCATTGATCTGACTCACAGCTTCATCAACTCTACTGTTGTTTCCCTGTAAATTGTTCTTTATTTCATTTAGTGTATCCTTTATTTCTGACTGGGTTTTTTTTATGCTGTTGAAGTCCTCATTAAGTTCCTTGAGCATTACAATGAATGTTTTGAGCTCGGCATCTAATAGATTGCTTACCTCCTTTTCATTAATCCTTTTTTCTGGAGCTTTGATCTGTTCTTTCATTTGGGCCATGTTTCTTTTTGTCTCCTTATTTTGACGACCTACCTGTATTTGATTCTATGTATTAGGTAAAGCCACTTTGACTCTGTGTCTTCGTAGTGTGGCTTAATGTGGTAGGTTGGGTCCTACTACATTAAGGGTCCAGTAGGGTCCAGTGGCACAGCCTCCCCTATCACCCAAGCTGGGTACTGGAGGTATACCCTTCATGTGGGCTAAGTACACTCTCCTCTTGTAGTTGAGCCTTGGTTGCTGTTGGCAGATCAATAGAAGGGATTTACCCAGGCCAGTCAGCTGCAAGGTCTGGCTGTGACCACTAACCACCAACCTCCACCCTCTGTGGAGGATGGGCTGTGCAGAGGCAGTGTGGTGGTGCTCCGAAGTGGTCTATAGCTGTCCAGTGGGTGTGCTGGCCCTGGAGTTTCCCCAGGTGGTGCAGGTCAAGGTCAGCTCCCACCTGTGTTTTTCCTGGGGCAACTTGCCTAAGCTATAGAGCAATCTGAGAAGACTGCTACTTGTACTGGGCTTAGAGATTCCCAGCTAAGCCAAGCTGTGAATCTAAGCTGGATGCTGCTAGTGCTGGCCTGGGGCTCACTGAAGCCAGCTGTTGCTTGTTTGATAGGCTTTAGGAAGTTGTGCAGCAGGAGCCAAGAAAAGCCATTCATATGGAAAAGTGGCTTGGGTGGGCCCCTAAATTGCATGGGGCAGAGTCCCAGGGATTCTCAGGCAAGTCAAACAGTGTTAGCCAGGGTGATGGAGACTCAGATATGGCACCAGTTTGCTGGCTCTGTGGAGGGAAGGTTTAAAAAAGGGACAATGGCTCTGCTCACCTTGATGGCAGCCATTTCAGTTTCTCCTGTATAGAACTGGTGCCTTTCAAGCTGCTGCCCCCATACCGGCACTCAGAGGGAGTGAGTCTGAGTAGGTGAGCCAATGTGTGTGTGTGTGTGTTTTTTAAGAGGAATTACTTGGGGCTCCAGAATTTTCTTCCACTGACTCAATCCCTGCTGGTTTGTGCAGCCAGACGTTGTGGGGACTTATCTTCCTGTGACTGGAACCCTGGGCTGGGGAACCTGGTGTTGGGCTGGGACTCCTTGCTCCCAAGAGATCCCTCCCAAAGTTTTATCCACTATACATGTGTATGGGTCCAGCCGGTTTCACGTCTGCACGCCTTCTACTAGTCTGGATGGATGTGGTTTCTTTAATTCCATAGTTGTCAGACATTCATTCCACTCGATTTCTGATGGTTCTGAGTGATGGTTTTTCTATATTTTAGTTGTAATTTTGATGTGCTTGTGCGAAGAGGCAAGCCATGTCTGTCTATGCCTCCATCTTGACCAGAAGTTATACAAACCACCTTTATTGGGTATTTTATTACTTGCAACAAAAAACATCTAAACTGCTACAGAGAGGCCAGGCAAGGGTGAACACAGGTCTCTATTGGGAGTCTTTACAATAAATCAGCAATTTTCAACCAGTGTGCTGCAAGAATTTTTAAAACATGCAATACCCAACTATCTAGTCAGGGGCACTGACCTCTTTTCCCTTAGATTATCAGATAAAAAAGTGACAACATCCAGCATAAGAATAGCCTTCTGGTGTAAATGAATCAAAATTATACCTATTGTTTTTGTCAGATTGGCAAAATATGTGTGTGTGTGTGTATGTGTGTGTGTATTTGTGTGTGTATAAAATTTTCTTATTTTTTATATTTTTCTATATTTCTTGTGCCATAGAATTTTAGCAATTAGTTTGTGTGTGCTATGTAATGAAAATGGTTGAAAGTCACTGCAATAAATAAATCCTTCTGCTGTGTATTAGGTACAAAGAAGGACTGAAATAGAGATGGAGGCTGGCCTTTCTACCTCCCTCCTCCCCAACCTAGGCTTCCTGCTGCTGAACACATAGTATGGAATGAAGTGTATCCCAGGATCGTCTGGTGTTTCTCCTGCCCCTGGGCGAAACAGTACTCAAGAGTGTCAAGTGTGAGACTCTAAAGGGTCTAGTACGTCCACCCAATCAACTGAATTGGGTAGCAGGAAGTCAGAGAGCTTTTCCTAAGTTCAACCAGCAACTCCCACTTTGTTTCACTTCACTCTCTCCTGTCTCCCACCTAACACACACACACACACACACACACACACACACAGAGCCCATTCAGGGTTTGACAAAAAGGAACCCCAGAATAGGGAAATGATTTATATGTCACGCAGACAAACAAAGGACAAACAGTATTTACTGAGTGCCTGCTGTTTCGGGGTTTGGGGATATAGCAGCAGTTAAACCAAACAAAGCCTTACCCTGCCTCTGAGCCGCCTGTTAAAGAAGTGAAAAAGCAAGAGGACCCAAACTTCCCAGTCACCAAACTTTTATCAAGTTCCACTCTCCTTCATGGTAAAAGCTACTTGACCACTAAGTCAAGGAGATAGTAGCCATGGCTATAAAAAGAAGCCTCTCTGGGCAGGCAGAGCAAACCTCTGAGCTGGAGCACACAGGGGGCAGGTAACTACCACTCCTAGTTCATCTAAGTACTTTTCCTTTTGCATTCCGCAAACAGGATTAATTCAGCAACAATAATCCCTTGTTGGGAGCTCATTCTATGCAAGCACAGTACTAAGCTCAGGATCAAGTGTGACTATGCTGCTCTGGCCGAGCCTTCAGAACAGCTTCTGATTCAGCAGGAGGGAAAGGCAGGGGAACATGTATTTACCAAACACCTGAGTTACCAGAGGGACCAGTGGGGTTCTGACTGGGCAAGGCAGACCGACCAGAGAGCACCCTGAGATGACTGTCAGTGGGAGGAGGCCAAAGCGAATTTCAATGGACTCTACTCTTTTCTTCTCCAACAAGGAAACCTGGCTCTCCAAGGAAAACAAGAGGATAAAATAAGCCCAGAAACAATTGAGGCAAAGACAGAGTTGCACTTAAGTGAGTTATGTTAATACTTGCCCCTTTCTGTCCCTCCCTCCTTCTCTCCCCCACCCCTCTCACAAACTTGGCAGAAGTAAATCTACCACCCAAGCCAGCACTGGGACAGAGCAAGGCCAAGGCCTGCCTTTGAGTCATTGCTTTCTTTCTTCCCCCAGTGTTTCCAGGCCTGAGTCCCTGTGTCAGGACCCAGCCCCATGCTGCCTAGATCTGCCTGCTCAGTCTGAGTGGGCCCCTCTTGCTTCCAGAGACATGTTCCTCTACTTATACTAAGGTCACCTGTCTTTTTTCTCTGCCCCCTGAGTTTATGACATCTTCCTCCTCCAAAACCCCTCTCCAGTCTCTTACAAGACAGGCTCCCTTTGTACATGAAATCAGAACACTCTCCAGTCTCATGTGGATGACATGAAAAAGTACCCCAAGTTTTCAAGTCACATTGAACTCATTTCATGTAGACCCATATGGAGAACCACATCACATGCAATAGTGGGGTCAGAGGGACCTAGAAATCCCCTGGGCCACCCATTTCAATATATAAATGAGGAAACTGCAGCCCGAGCAAAGAAACTTGACCTTAAATCTCATGGCTGGATAGTAGCAGAGATGGAACAAAAATTCCTACTTCAGTTCATTTTTTAGACATTTTACTTTTCTAATGGTGGCATTTCAAGCACCTGACAAGTATACACATATAGGAAAATATATGCTATATGAACTTCTCAGAGCATTCCACTCACACAGGCAGGCCCAGACTACTTCTTTGGTGCTGAGACTCCTCTGT